TAGGATAGATCTAGAGATCTAGATCTAGGATTCTCTAGGATTTCAGAAGGGACGTTAGGCACTTTTTTGGCGTGGTTTTGGAACTAGTTCGTCCTTCAGAGCCATGGTGTTTTCCTGCCGGGAGCTGCTTTTATGCTTTTTTCGAAGTTGTTTTCCTGCGAAAAAGGTTGTTTTTCTAGGATTTCAGAGGGACGTTAGGCACTTTTTTGGCGTGGTTTTGGAACTAGTTCGTCCTTCAGAGCCATGGTGTTTTCCTCCTTTTATGTTTTTTTCGAAGTTGTTTTCCTGCGAGCAGGCGCAGGCAACAGAAATTCTCGAAAAAGGTTGTTTTTCTAGGATTTCAGACGGGACGTTAGGCACTTTTTTGGCGTGGTTTTGGAACTAGTTCGCCCTTCAGAGCCATGGTGTTTTCCTGCCGGGAGCTGCTTTTTTCGAAGTTGTTTTCCTGCGAGCGGCCGCAGGCAACAGAAATTCTCGAAAAAGGTTGTTTTATGTTGTTTTATGTTGTTTTTCTTTGTTTTTATGTTGTTTTTCTAGGATTTCAGAAGAGACGTTAGGCACTTTTTTGGCGTGGTTTTGGAACTAGTTCGTCCTTCAGAGCCATGGTGTTTTCCTGCCGGGAGCTGCGTTTATGTTTTTTTCGAAGTTGTTTTCCTGCGAGCGGGCGCAGGCAACAGAAATTCTCGAAAAATGTTGTTTTTCTAGGATTTCAGACGGGACGTTAGGTACTTTTTTGGCGTGGTTTTGGAACTAGTTCGTCCTTCAGAGCCATGGTGTTTTCCTGCCGGGAGCTGCTTTTTTCGAAGTTGTTTTCCTGCGAGCGGCCGCAGGCAACAGAAATTCTCGAAAAAAGTTGTTTTATGTTGTTTTATGTTGTTTTTCTAAGATTTCAGAAGGGACGTTAGGCACTTTTTTGGCGTGGTTTTGGAACTAGTTCGTCCTTCAGAGCCATGGTGTTTTCCTGCCGGGAGCTGCTTTTTTCGAAGTTGTTTTCCTGCGAGCGGCCGCAGGCAACAGAAAATTCTCCGAAAAAGGTTGTTTTTCTAGGATTAGTTCAGACGGGGACGTTAGGAGACTTTTTTGGTGGTTTTGGACTAGTTCGTCCTTCAGAGCAACCCATGAGTGGTTTTTTCCTGCCGGAGAAGCTGCTTTGTCGAGTGTTTTCCTGAGAGCGGCCGCAGGCAACAGAAATTCTCGAAAAAGGTTGGTTTTCTTGGATTTCAGGAAGGGACGTCGGCACTTTTTTGGCGTGCGTTGTTTTGGACAGCGCGTCCTTCCAGAGCATGCGTGTTTTCTGCCGGAGCTGCTTTTTTCCAGTTGTTTCCTGCGAGGCGGCCCGCAGGCAACAAAATTATCGAAAAAGGTTGTTTTTCTAGGATTTCAGACGGGACGTTAGGCACTTTTTTGGCGTGGTTTTGGAACTAGCTCGTCCTTCAGAGCCATGGTGTTTTCCTGCCGGGAGCTGCTTTTTTCGAAGTTGTTTTCCTGCGAAAAAGGTTGTTCGTCCTTCAGAGCCATGGTGTTTTCCTGCCGGGGGCTGCTTTTATGCTTTTTTCGAAGTTGTTTTCCTGCGAAAAAGGTTGTTTTTCTAGGATTTCAGACGAGAGGTTAGGCACTTTTTTGGCGTGGTTGTGGAACTAGTTCGTCCTTCAGAGCCATGGTGTTTTCCTGCCGGGAGCTGCTTTTTTCGAAGTTGTTTTCCTGCGAGCGGCCGCAGGCAACAGAAATTCTCGAAAAAGGTTGTTTTTCTAGGATTTCAGACGGGACGTTAGGCACTTTTTTGGCGTGGTTTTGGAACTAGTTCGTCCTTCAGAGCCATGGTGTTTTCCTGCCGGGAGCTGCTTTTTTCGAAGTTGTTTTCCTGCGAGCGCCCGCAGGCAACAGAAATTCTCGAAAAAAGTTGTTTTTCTGGGATTTCAGACGGGACGTTAGGCACTTTTTTGGCGTGGTTTTTGGAACTAGATCGTCCTTCAGAGCCATGGTGTGTGCGATTTGGTAGAAGCTGTTGTAGTGCAAGCAACCGCAGGCAACACCATCGAAGTTTTTTGCCTGCTAGCAGGAGGAAAAGTAACAGCAGCAAATAGACGACCCGCGGCAGCAGCAATAACAGCAGCAGAAGCTTTTGCCGCAACAGCAGCAGGAGCAGAAAGTTTTCATGCTGAGAGCTGAAGCAGACAAGCAAGCCGGAACTGGTCGTTTGTTGTTACTGTGCATGCCATTCCGTTCGGGGGCACACGCGGCCATTGGATTGTTTGTGTTTGCTTTGGATTCGCCCAAATTCTTTGGTGCTCTGGACGCAGGTTCCACAAGTAGGGCATATGTGCGAAAAGCGCGTTGCCGGCAGCGTCGGTCGAAGAAGGCCATCCTGCACGCGAAATTGTCTCCCACATATGCGTCGGTGGTTGACATGTCCGGAAACAATTGACGTAGTAACAGATTTTTGGCAAAAAGGGCATGAGTACACATACAGCTTTTGTGGTGGTGGCTTTTGCTCCATGTCTTTTGGGATTGCAACCTCGTGTGTACCTTCTTTTTCGCTGGTCATGGTTTGGCCCGTGCGTTTTTTTCTGTATTCTGCGATCGCTTGCCATGTCTCGCGTAGCACTTGGGTTTGACGCAATTTTTTGCGAAGAGGTTCCAGTCGGCTTATGATCGATGCAGCAGCCCGCTTGCGGAGAACTGCTTGCGCAACGACAGCGCGGCATACATTGCATATTTGTGTGCCGTTTTCGCCAGAAGGCCGCTTTCCAATGAAATCAGAAAATTGCTGCTGCGGTTTGCGTTGGTGACAGGCTGCGCACTTCCAAGAACCACGCGTTTTCGTTTGGCACTGCAAACACACTCTTCGCGTAGGCTTCCTAGCCATCCACGCTGAGGCGCCGAAGTATTCTTTCGTTTGTTTGCTTTGGCAAACAAAACATTTTCTTTTAGCATCACACGACAGACAGACGCGATACATGCTCCAGCGGGGGTTTTGGTGCTTGCTTGCAAAGTGGCACGCAGCGTGCCACAGGCCACACTGCGTGCATCGATACGGTGTGCCTGCCTCGCGCTTCTGCGCAGTGCATTCTTTACAAACGCGGTGTGTCTCCTGTTTCCACTGCGCTTTGGTGAATGCATCTTTGCGTTTCATCTCCCCACGCTCATGACATGGCCTCTCATCCAAGTACTTCTTGCGCAACGCGTCCCAGTCCACCGGTTCCTGCTTCCACACGTCAAGCAGAAGTTGCCTTCCAAGCGGCAGGCCCTCTTGAAAAGGCGCCAGCGGGAACGGACGGTAGATCAAGATCTTCTGCCGTGTGCGGCAGCGCGTCATCCCAATGTAAGCCGCTATTGGGTCTGCACCGATCATGTCCACAATCACGCCCGGCTCTATTGTGCTTCCTTGCGCGCCATAGAACGTGTCAGCGAAGTCGGGCGCAATAGGAAATTGGTATCGCGTCACTTTCAATTGTGGGTTGGCGCGGCCCGCGTCCAAAAACCACAGTCCACTTTGCACGCTGACTGGAAAGACGTTCTCTTCATCGATGTCTGGGATAGTCCACCGTGTGCGTGTTTCAAAACGCACAAAAATATACTCAGGAAGTTTGTTCCAAATGATTGCTCCGTTTGCCGATTCTGTTTCTGTTTCGACGCGAGACCACCCGCAGACTGTTCCATGGCATCCTTTCAAAATCTTGAACTCTTTTCGGTAGAGATGTTCTCGCGCTTGCACGGGCATACCTATGCACAGCGGAAGGACGCCGTACCGGTTGCCGCAGTCAGCGTCGCTGCGCTGCAGCCATGTGAGCTTATCGTGGGCGATGTCGGGCTTCTCGTGCAACGCTCGTGCCGAGACTTTGTCCGTAGCTACTGCATAGCAAATGACCTGCCCACGCTGTCGCGCCCATTGTTCCGCGCGAAGTTTGTTTACTGGTGCGAAGCAGTCCATCGCCAAGACAAGCGCTGCAAAACCATGGGAAACACTGCTGCTACGAGCTGGGATGCACCAACACCATACCGGGATGAACCCCATGCTGAACCTGAAAAATGGGTAAGTTAACAAACATGCCAACTCAAATAGGATGATGTGATACAGTACCTTAAATTCTTTTTGCCTGTAGCTACCACCAGGACGATCACAAGATCAAAACCCCCCATGTTTTCACCAAATTCATCTACTAAATACTGATAATAATTTAATTGTAACAGTGATAACAATATATATATTCTGATGCTGAAGCTAATGATGCTGCTGATGCTGCTGACTTGGGCCCATGTTTTTTTCTTTCAATTTCACAAACCCAATTATTACGATGTGCCTTTTTCCTTGCGAAGCCTACGACTCACGCAAGGGTGGTCAGACACACCATCCTAAAAAGAAATGGAAAGAAAAAACCATGAGCACAAACCAACAATTCCGGTCAAAAACAAAAAGATAATGGAAAAACACAAAAACAATCAAACAATGAAGAAGTGACAGAACCGTTAAGTCATCAAGAAATAATAGACAATCTTAATGATACATTCCCTTCTTTTCAAATCTTAGTTGAAAAAATGAAAACTTTAAAACCCTAACAACCTCAACAAATCCTGACCCAATCAATGATACTCCCCTAAAATAATCAACAAGGTTAGGATGAAACGTTTTTACCAAAAATGTCTTACAACATACATCACAAAAAACATCAACACCAAGGAACGCACGTTCCCCTTTAACATAAAAACCATAACAGGCAACAATGCGTGTAAAACTGTCCCAGGAACATCCTTTCCCCATTTTTTTTTTGGGGGGGGTGCAGGCCTGTACCATATATACGTTCTGACGGCTTGCCAATTCTTCCGGGGTCGGCGGCAGGGGCGGCAGCCCTTAAATATACCTCTGCTGTTGGCCATATCACTATAGCTCATATTCTCCACATCCTTAGTTATACCCTATTAGCTTCCATATCGTATAACCCCATGATATCCCAACCCGAAAACTTCTTGGTTTATATCCCATCTACCCTCATTCTTCACAGCTACGCCCGACCTGGTTTCAAGACGCGGTAGATCTCCATCAGCGCAGCATGTTCATCGTCCACGGAGCACAAAACACGGCGCGTCAGAAGTAAGGCACAGCTGCTGCTGGGCACCTACTGGTTGCTCGGTAACCCAGTTGCGTAAGAAAATGATCCCCAATAAGCCAGGTACCAAAACTTCCATAGCCTAATAGCCAATCAAACTGGGTATTTTTTAGTAGCTCAAACGGAGTCCTCTGATGGGAAACATTGGGGGTTAACCAGCAATATATGGACGGTTTAATCCTTTCAACCAGCAAGTAACTAATCCGCCGACCCCTGCCGCCAGCAGGGGGAGCGCGATAGAGGAGGACTGACTAGGGGCTGTCGCCCGCAAGCCCGGCCCGTCCTTCAGGACCGTCCTTTTTGAGACTGGCGAAGGCGCCGTTTTTGAATGTTTGTGACGGCCGGAAAGGGTGCGTTTTTGAAGGTTTGACGGCTGGAAGAGAGCTTGTTTTCTTGTAGGTTCAGAAAGCAACGTTAGGCAGTGGGAGCCGTTGCCCGGAGGCTCGGTCCGTCCTTCAGGGCCCTGCTGTTTGGGCGTGGCGGAGGCGCCGTTTGTGAGCCTTGACGGCTGGAAGAGAACTAGTTTGGGAGCCGTTGCCCGGAGGCTCGGTCCGTCCTTCAGGGCCCTGCTGTTTTGCTGTGGCGAGGGCGCCGTTTGTGAGCCTTGACGGCTGGAAGAGAGCTAGTTTTCTTGTAGGTTCAGAAAGCAACGTTAGGCAGTGGGAGCCGTTGCCCGGAGGCTTGGTCCGTCCTTCAGGGCCCTGCTGTTTTGCTGTGGCGAGGGCGCCGTTTGTGAGCCTTGACGGCTGGAAGAGAGCTAGTTTTCTTGCAGGTTCAGAAAGCAACGTTAGGCAGTGGGAGCTGTTGCCCGGAGGCTCGGTCCGTCCTTCAGGGCCCTGCTGTTTTGCTGTGGCGAGGGCGCCGTTTGTGAACCTTGACGGCGCGTTTTTGAAGGTTTGACGGCTGGAAGAGAGCTTGTTTTCTTGTAGGTTCAGAAAGCAACGTTAGGCAGTGGGAGCCGTTGCCCGGAGGCTCGGTCCGTCCTTCAGGGCCCTGCTGTTTTGCTGTGGCGAGGGCGCCGTTTGTGAGCCTTGACGGCTGGAAGAGAGCTAGTTTGGGAGCCGTTGCCCGGAGGCTCGGTCCGTCCTTCAGGGCCCTGCTGTTTTGCTGTGGCGAGGGCGCTTTTCTTGTAGGTTCAGAAAGCAACGTTAGGCAGTGGGAGCCGTCGCCCGGAGGCTCGGTCCGTCCTTCAGGGCCCTGCTGTTTTGCTGAGGCGAGGGCGCCGTTTGTGAGCCTTGGCGGCTGGAAGAGAGCTAGTTTTCTTGTAGGTTCAGAAAGCAACGTTAGGCAGTGGGAGCCGTTGCCCGGAGGCTCGGTCCGTCCTTCAGGGCCCTGCTGTTTTGCTGTGGCGAGGGCGCTGTTTGTGAGCCTTGACGGCTGGAAGAGAGCTAGTTTGGGAGCCGTTGCCCGAGGTCCGTCCTTCAGGGCCCTGCTGTTTTGCTGTGGCGAGGGCGCCGTTTGTGAGCCTTGACGGCTGGAAGAGAGCTAGTTTTCTTGTAGGTTCAGAAAGCAACGTTAGGCAGTGGGAGCCGTTGCCCGGAGGCTCGGTCCGTCCTTCAGGGCCCTGCTGTTTTGCTGTGGCGAGGGCGCCGTTTCTAAACCTTGACGGCTGGAAGAGAGCTAGTTTGGGAGCCGTTGCCCGGAGGCTCGGTCCGTCCTTCAGGGCCCTGCTGTTTTGCTGTGGCGAGGGCGCCGTTTGTGAGCCTTGACGGCTGGAAGAGAGCTAGTTTTCTTGTAGGTTCAGAAAGCAACGTTAGGCAGTGGGAGCCGTTGCCCGGAGGCTCGGTCCGTCCTTCAGGGCCCTGCTGTTTTGCTGTGGCGAGGGCGTCGTTTGTGAGCCTTGACGGCTGGAAGAGAGCTATAGCTATAGTTTTCTTGTAGGTTCAGAAAGCAACGTTAGGCACTGGGGGCCGTTGCCCGGAGGCTCGGTTCGTCCTTCAGGGCCCTGCTGTTTTGCTGTGGCGAGGGCGCCGTTTGTGAGCGTTGACAGCTGGAAGAGAGCTAGTTTTCTTGCAGGTTCAGAAAGCAACGTTAGGCAGTGGGAGCCGTTGCCCGGAGGGTTCCATCAACTATGCACGTGCCAGTGGTTGGTGGAACACTGCTTTCCGTTGGGAGCGCGATGAGTTACTTGAATTCGGCCGGAAGCTTTTGTTGAATGCACCACCGCGCTGCATGTCGGACACGTGTGCGTATGCGTGCGACCTGCAAGCAAGCCATTTGCAACGCGAAATTTGTGGCCGCAACCATCACCTCGGCGGTGATCGATTTGTCCTGTTGCCACTTTGCTTTGCACAGATTTGGCGCAGTGTGGGCAGATGTATGTGTACAGTTGTGGCGTAACCGTGTCAGGCCCGACAGCAAGCTGCTGGTTCGATGAGTGGGCAGTGTCCGTTTTGGGAGCTTCTGCTCGCGTGGAAGTTTGTCTTGCTTCGTGTATTTCCTGAATTTCCTTGCGAACGTCCTCTAGGATTGCTGCGTGACGGTGGCGGGTTTCGCGTTGGCGCAAGCGGGCCAGGCGTTGATTCGTGCGATGAGCAAGATGGCAAACGAAGGCAAAGGCTGTGCATGCGTTGCATACTTGTGTGCCGTCTTGAGTATATTCACGCTACCCTGCCTGGGGTCGGCGGCAGGGGGCGTAGCCCCTTAATGAATTAATCCGGCCAGGGGCCCCCTGGCCGTGTCCTTGCCGTACGGCGTTTCTCTCCTCTCCGTAGGAGAGAGGGGCCGCCGCCCCAGCCGCCGACCACCCGGTAGGGCCAAAAAAACCCGCGTTTTACGGTGTTTTGTGCTCTTCCAATTTTTTCCCATTTTTCGGATCTTGTGGCTCAAGATGGGTCAACATGGGCCAACATAGGCCGCAAGATGGGCCAACATAGCCCCAAGATGGGCCCACATAGCGCCCAAGATGGGCCAACATAGCGCCCAAGATGGGTCAAGATAGCCCCAAGATGGGCCAACATAGCCCCAAGATGGGCCCACATTGCCCTCCAGATAGGCCAACATAGCCCCAAGATGGGCCAACATAGCCCCAAGATAGGCCACCGACCATCAAAATATCCTGCGTTTTACAGGCGTTTTTGCTGTTCCCATTTTTCGGATCTTTTGGCTCCACGTGGGTCAACATGAGGCCAACATAGGGCTCAAGATGGGCCAACATAGCCCCAACATGGGGCAACATAGCCCCAAGATCGGCCAACATAGCCCCCAAGATTGGCCAACATAGTTGGGCCCCTGGCCGGCTGTCGCGCGTAAGCGCTTAAATAACCAACAAGTAATGGAGTGGCTGTTGACTATCAATAAACTGGGAACCTAACTGGTTTAACCAGCAATGAATGGATGGTTTAATCCTTTTAACCATCAATGTAATGGAGGATGCAGTGAATTAAAATTGAGAAAACCTGCAATAAAGCAAAGATGTTACTGTTTTAACCTTCAATGAACGGATATTAATTATACCAGCAAGAAGTGGAGGGTGTAACTAGCACTATATAAATGAGGGGTCAAACGATAACATCCTTTTTGGAAAAGAGAGCAAAAATAACAACCATGTGCGGTTCCAAACTGATATCCAATATTTGGGTCATAGTCATTTAATCCCATTTATCAAGATTGGTTTCTGCTCAAAGAGCAATTCTCTTCCAGAGTGTCAGATGGAATCCCCACATTTTCTCTTGTCACATTCACATGATGGGTGCTCAAATACTGAAATCCTATCGTTTTCTTTGGGTGGGATCCCCACCTTCTTGTTGAAATCCACCTTTTTTGCATATCAAAGATTGGTCAAAGGCTGCCGATGCACACAGGAGGCCTCTTCCAGGTCTGCCGCGAAGGACACGGAAAGGTCCAGGTCGTGCGCCTCAGAGGCGGCCTTTTCCCAGGTAAAACGATTTGGCTCCACCGCCAGCACCGGCAGATCTGGCGCTTCCGCTGCCTGCCGGAATCCGGGAATCTGGCCTGGTGGAGGTTTCCTAAAATGTTTAGGTACCCCCAAATCAATCCAAAATCCAAATCATCCGTTTACAGGTGGATTTTCCATCAGAAACCCATATAAACCATCCATTTTCCATGAAATAAACCATCTCGTGGGGTAGCCCCATGACTTAGGAAGCCTCGGAAAAAGTTCGACCCACCTTCAGCGTCAGGAAATCGTTGCCACTTCCACTGCCCAAATCCACCACAGAGCCACCTACCTTGGACGCAGAGAGAAAGTCAGCATCCAAAGACCCACTAGTTATAGAATAGTAACCATTGGTTTAATAATAGTGAACTACTGATAGTTATAGAATTACCAATGGTTAATAATGAACTGATAGTTATAGAATTAACTACTGATAATTTAATAATGAACTATTTCCAATGACTGATAATAGAATGATATATTATATAACCAGGAAATCAGTCCTGGCTGAGAAGAAAAAAGGCGCGGCAGAATCATTCTGAATCCAAAGACCCTCTAACCGCTAACCTGGCTGAAAAAATCCACGGTTGTAGTACCGGTAGTTTGTAGATGAATCATCGACCGGGATTTGAACATTGCCAGCCATGTTTTCAATTGCTGTAGGATAAATTATCTCTGCTCGAACGAGGGATTGGAAGAAAGCCGGTAATGATAATACTAGTATATAGTAGTAACAACAATCATCATACTACCAGTCATCCCTATTACAGTAGTTCTGGTTAATAACAGCAATAACAGCAACCAGCACAAACATCGCAACTGATGATATCATCCAACTGCTTGTCACGGGAACTATCACAACAACTGATTCACAGTAAACTAACCAATCAGTAATAAAATCACAATTGGTAGTAACAATGGCAATCCATAGAATACTGGTTCATAGTAGCTAATTGCTGTAGTCATGGCCAAAAAACTATTACTAAGTATCATTAACTCTTATTAAATATCATCAAGTATTAGTTATCATTCTCACCAGTGAATTGTTAGTTATGATTCTATTATTAGCTATGATGTTTCTATGATTAGTTATTATTCCCTCGTATTATACTATTCTATTGAATACTACATGTTGTTAGTTGTCCTTACTAACACAAAGGCCCAAAACACGTCCCTTCTTCATATCCTTGTTTCTTTTTTATTAACCATTATTGACCATTATTAACCATTATTAACCATTATCCAATATCAACCATTCTTGATACAATGGTTCATGTCCAATATTTGTTAACTATTACCATCTCGTTATTTAACAGTTCGCCATGGAAAATGGCCCTTTTCGAAATAGATGGTTTACCTTTTTCTTTACCCATTAAAAATGGTGATTTTCCATGGCGAACTGTTAGTCATAACCAGATGGTAAATCATCATTAATCCCCATTAATCACCATTAACTATCAGTATTAACCACTATTAAATCCCATTAATCCCCATTAATCACCATTAAACCACCATTTTCCTATGGAAAATCCCATTAAAATCCCATTATTAGTTCCAAAAAAAAAACGCCCGGCCTTCGAGGCCATTGCTCCAGCACGTTTCAGCAGTTCTGCCTCGGCAACACTCACCTGGTTGTCCGGGTTAAAGCGGTCAACCTGGCCAGGTAGATATGAAACCAAGGGTGGATGGGATATCATGGATGTATACATTGATATATATATATATATCAGAATTGATGAAATTGTTTTAAAACTCATCCTTTTAAAACAATTTCATCAATTCTGATTAGTCGTGAGTCGTGTCATCTGATACTACTAAATCTTCTACTGGGATCTTCCTGAATAGAAATGGAAAGAATGGAAAAAATTGAAACGACCATCCAGAATGAGGATGGTCTGTGAAATGGACATCATCAATGGATCAACACCTGGGCGATGTACCAGAGGTAGGCATCCTGTTTTCGCACCTGCGGCGGCCATGATGTCAACTGTCATGGCTACCAGTTCCTCGAAGCCATTAGTGATCCCATGCTCCTGTTGATGACACCCAATAAACAATTGATTGTTGAGTGAAAAATGAGTTGAAATTCGCAACAAAAAGTCATGCCATCTGATGTTGATCTACCTGGACTCCAAAAATATGAAAACCCCACCTGTGGGATAAAAAGTCCCGCAGTAAAGGCCAAGGTGAGGCCGCGAATCAACAGCTTTCCTCAATTTCTTTGGAAGATCACATCGGGTTTTCATGGGATTTATATGGATATTTATGGGGGGTATCATGGGATATTATGACCAACAATCGGATATGTGGATGTGTGTCTGAAAATAGGGTATATACCCTCCAAATGACTAATGGGGAGAATGAAAATAGTCCATGGAACCGCGGGGTAGGATGTCTCATGGGCACGATTTTTCCGCTTGAGATTACGATAGCTTGTAGATGCTCTGATCATCTCTAGCAACTGAAGATTTACTAATGGATGTTCATTCCCTATTGGAAAACAATCAAAGATGGTGTCAGTGGCTCACCTCATTGTTCCATCAAGGAGCTAAGATCATTTCGAGACAAGGTTGCGGTCGCGCTGACCTTGCCGAGCGACCAGTCCCAGCTGATCGGACAATCCAGGGAAGCAAAACCCACGTGGCCGCCAGGATAATCGATGGACCATCTGAAGGGGATAACTATCCATAGTTGTCATATGAGCCATGGTCAATACTCACTATATGGTTGATGGTCATCCCATCCATAATAAGCATCCTTATAATGGTTATTATAAATCCCTATGAACCATTGGATGAACCATATTGTTTGTGAACTATCTCATATGCAAACGATGGTGGAAGAAGACAACAAAAAGGATCTTGGATTTTTGAAGCTTCTCCTCGCCAGCAATCCGTTGAGACATGCCATCGTGTCTTTAAAAAGGTTTGACGACTGATCGCCATGTCATCTCTCCCAGAATTCTACCCTCTGATTATTCAACGTATCCATGAAAAATCACGATGTTTGATAGGTAAACCACCACTTGCACCATCTATATGTGGGCCATCTATAGCCATGTTAGTCATAACCAGAGGGTTCCTAGTGATCTGCCAGGAGATGATCTTCTACATGTCTTTTTGGTGTTTCCTTCGACTTGTTTTAGGGGATTTTGATGGATTTTGAGCTTATTCAAGGTTGATTTACGGCCTGTTTATGGTTGATTTAGCATTGGGTGAATTGGAATGAATTGGGGTCCTGCTAGGCTTTTGACGCTTTGTGAAGGGTTTTAGTGGCTTGAAACACATGTAAAGAAACCTCTGACATATGGTTGTCGAAAGTCCGGTGGTGAAACTAAAATGCGACCACTATGATGACAAGCATGGCACTCTTGGACATGTAAAGATATGAGGTTTACGACATGCGGGCCTCCTCGCTCTGCGCTGCCGCTTCGGTCACTCTCGGGCCGCTGCTTCGCTGCACGAGATGCCTCGGTCCTGGGCTGAAAATGGGGAGGTCTGTCATGGGAATATTAGTGGAGATATATTATATCAAAAATAAGGAGCAATATAATAGATGTAATTGATATTGTATATCCATGATATTGATGTTACTAGTGTGCAATATGATGGATTAGAGTTTTTGATGTTTTTTGTCCAAAAACAAAGGTCCAGCCAATTTTCGGCTGGTCAAACCCCCATCATATCAATGTGAAAATGGCTTAGCCTTCACATTGTCAGCTCCTAACCCATATCACTTTAGTTTTAACAACCATTGAACTATTGCTGAAAATGTGGTTAAATAGTTAAATAATGTTACATATATATATATTGCTTTTTTTTCTCTTGCCAGGCATTCAGTCGCAGACAATCGCAACTCATGCGAATGCTTCGGCGCTTGGCATGATCTCATACTACCCTTTATCTCGCTGCCTGTAGAATGTTATTGTTTTGAAAAGGGTCCCCATCATAGTCTGTGTGGCTTATCCGATTGTGGATGATTTCGTTCGACCTAAACAACCACTGCTATCAACCCAATTAACTATATCAATTTGGGAACCGTTGCTTGAACCAACATGCCTTGGCGTAAAAACACCGTCCCTTACCGCGACATCGCCACGTGTCTCGTCCCAAAGGTCCCGGTCCATGTCGGTGCCAAGGCGAACAGCAGGGTCGCAGTGCCCCAGCGGATGGCAGGCATCACAACTGATGGCAGAAAACCGTAGCTTCAATGGTTTGATTTACAGTGAAGAATTGCAAATCATGGTGAAATTGAATATCCCTTTATCCAATTCTGGGACATCAAGATATCTTCGAGAATTCACAGGTCCCTATCACCTGGGAGATGGATAGAATGGGACAAATTAGGATTGCTTGGTACTATTGTATGGTACGGCATGCGACGTGCTTCGCCACTGCGGAACGACAGTTCGGGTTCCCATCACGGTAATTTGATCGACATCCTGAAACTGATTGATTTCGTCAATGTACAAGCTGAAGTGTGGTGCTTGATATCCATGATACTGTCTGCATCATCTGAAGAAGCTCTGGAAAGCACTGAAGTGCTCATCTGAATAAGATTGCCAAGCTTGAGGAAATGCTTCGATGGCCATGGATCCGGCTCAACACGTCAAGGTGGAGCTGTTAGCCGCTGTTAGCCCGATCCTTCGCAACCCATGGCAAGTCGCAGCAAAGTGGAAATCTCCAGAGGCCTCCTTCCAGACCCCAATTTGTGGTCCCAAATAGATTGAACTAAAAGATGGGTAGCAGATCTCTATCTAAGCGCAGCTCTTATTTAACGGCACCTGTAGAAAACTAATCCATGTCGGAGCGACACTTCCTCCAGCTTCTTCTTGTAGACCTTACCGCTCCTTGGCATCGGCAGCATCCCAATGAACCCCTTCATCATCTGGGCAGCGTGCCACATAATCCGGGCCACCGAACTCATGAGATTTCTTGGAGCTGCTATTGTTGAAGAGCTTGTTGGAAGGCAAGCAAAACATCTTGTCCTGGCACTTTGGTTTCAGCGAACTTGAACGTGCTTTGCTGCGCTCAAACTTGCGCTGATGTCTCAAGCTGGGTTTCCAGATTTTTGCTAAGTCTCAGGAAGGATAATACAAAGGGGATGGGGTTAAGTCCATGAGAAGTACTCACTCGACATCCCAGCCTTGTGGGTAGGTTCCTGCCACCCAGGGATGCTCTTGTCATTCCATCGCTCCTCGAACTCCTGTGACGGGGTTGGAATAAACCCATTGGTCTGCCAGAGACCCAGTACTAAATACGTTTGTGAAATTCATGCGTACATTGTGTGTATATTGCATATATGTATGTACATTATACATACAATATAGATATATATATAATATAATATATATATATTATATATATAATTATATAAGCCACCCCAGCAAATCGATAGAAAAGCTTGTGTGGTTTGATTCCACCCAAATGCAGCTTCTTACTGCTGCATCCAAAGGCTGACTCGCTCTTTGCAACAGTCGGAATGCATGGTCAAGGCAGCTTAAAATGTCTGCACTTTGAGGGCCCAAAATGTTTTAACATGAAGGGAAAGAACTAGTGTGTTCGGCATTGGCTCAAAGTTACCCTATTCCGAGGTCTCTTGTCAAAAACATACATAAAAGGATTTTTGTTTTGATCCATACCCATGTGTTCCATGCTCAAGGTACACAAGGGGTATGCATCGTCCTCCAATCACTAGACTAGACTATATTTAGTGATTCCAAACATTTTGGGCATGTGAACCGGCTACGACCATGCTCCAGAAACCTTGCACCATGCGTATCCCATCCACAAGGTGGTTTGTCTCAAGATTGGGGTACCCAAAATGCATAGTTCCTCGTGTTCCTGTTAAAATTGACATTTTGCGGTGTACCTGTACCACATTTTCTGGGCTAAGGCGCTAAGCCAGGGATTCATGGTATGTCACTGCCTTCTCAAACTGCTGCTCAAGCTTGTCAGCATCAATCTGGGCAAAGCCAGGCCGGGAGATACGGTTCTTTGCGCCCTATCCTGTAGTCCCAGCAATTCTAGGAGCTCATTGATCACTCAGACAGATTTGGGTTGATCGGTTGCGTCCATGTCATGAAAAAATTACCCCCAGAATTATACAGAAACTAGATGAAACCAGTGAAAATTGAAGGGGTGTCCAATTTTTCTCGCTAATTCCTTGAAGCGCCAACCCTACCAATAAAAATTCGCTGGAAATTGCTTGGCCCTCACCAGGATGGAAACCAATAATTCCTTCCCAGAGCGCTTGGCAGAAATCTCCCATCAACTCCAACTGATCACCCCAGTAGACCTGGCCTAAAGTGGGTCCCACTCATGTTGTTCAGCATCCTTATGGATCAAAACTATCAACCTCCAAAGAGAAACTGGACTATTTTGTACAGACTATCAGAAACAACCCTCTGGTAATCAAACATGGCAACGGAAAATCCCCAATTTATAGATTTCGTTGGGGCATTTTCCAGCCAGCCATGCGAAATGATCAGAAACGTGGGCCCTTTTTTACGGTCGCCATCCACACCATCCGTCCCGGAGCCCTGGAAGCCCTGGGGGGCCCGAGCCAAGGGCTGCGTCCGGAGAAGGAAGCCTCGTAGGTAGCTGATGAGACCCTCAAGGTACTCCTTGGAGATGACGTTGGGACATGGCCAGGGCTGAAATGTGGCTAAAATAGCCTCAACTGGTTGGTATACCTACCCCTCTGAAAAAGATGAGTCAATGGGAAGGATTACATCCCATATATTATGGAAAATAAAAGATGTTTGAAGTTTGAAACCTCCAACCAGTCAAACATGCAGAAAAAATTGCCATGGGGCAATACCACTTGGGCTGGAAAATCTGGGGGCATCAATAGATACGGCAGCGTTTCGATTCAGAGGGTTTCCTCGCTCCCAACATCAACACACGGGGGATCTGGAGACGTTTTTAGCGACAGACTCCAACGGCCAAATTCGTCGCTTGCAAACGGAGATGGGGAACCAGGAGAAACATGGAGAACTGCAAACGGGGCTCACATTTTGCTCCAAACATCATTAGGAGAATACTGGACATGGATTGAAAAAATCTGGCAATCCAAATCCAAATGCACACTGGTCAGTCATCAATCAAATCCATTGCCTTTCTGCATTCCATCGCCGACTCTTGAAGCTCAGGGATCCAACATAGCTTCACAAAGCTGACATTTGCAATTCTCTAGGGCGGGATGTCCACATGAAGATTAAATTCTCACTTGGAGTTACTTGGTTGTGCTGAGATTGGATAAGTTTGAAACCCCGAACAAAGCACTGGGAGCAAGCGGCTGTATAGTTCTTCTCACCTCGGCATTGAATGAGATGAGCAAAGGGATGCACGCAGCGTTCCACTGGCGAATGTTTCATCCTTTATGGTTCCTTCAAGGGTGGCCTTAAAGTACAAGAGTTACATCCATCATTCTTCTACAAGCATGTGGTGGGCGACATAACCCTGTGTCATGCACCTCCAAGTGTCACCACGAAGGGGGAGAACACTGAGAATCAAGGACAACAATTTGCCCAGCAATACGGGCAATACCCATCAACCATGCTCGTCAACCCGAAAAACGTCGCTATCGTCACTCCCAAAAACAATCAAAAACATAGAAAGGCTAATGAAAAGTATAATTCATAGATGATCACTATGTTGTGGGGATTTGTGGGCTTGGATTTTAACACCTTCTATCTTTTTTGGGGTACCTTTGGGGTACCGGTACCGGGTACCCAAAAAAAAACTGGGTGCATCAAGAGACGATACTTGCAGTACCTGTTGATCTCGTGGAACTGATCGAAGGTCTTCAACCACTCGATGTAGTCCAGCTCGTGGAACTCCTTCTCCACCGTCCTCAGCGTTGCAGCGATCTCTGGCTGTCCTTTTTTGTGGAAAAATGGTGGAAAAAATGGGCATAAACATCCCGGCGCCTGGTTTACCGCGCGTGTGTTTTGGCATTTTCTCAAGAGTCTTTATGATGACCTTCATGTTTATCTCTTGGTATTTGCAGGACTTTTGAAGCAATCATCATCATGTTTGGTCACAAAATGTGGCTAATTCCATTGCGTTTTATTTTTTCATCATTTTTCACTTGTATTTGCAGGCTTTTGTGAACGCCAGGAGTAGAAAGAGGCTGTTTCAGGATGCCTTATTTTTTGATGAATTTGCGTTTCGCCACAGGGAGACAACAAAAAAATCGGACTTTTCGGTTTTTTTCTGGCGCAGCACTTTCACTGCATGTTCGCTCGAAGAGGTCTAGCGTAGCATCGTGTGCAAGTGCAAGAGACGAGGTCGGTAGCGTAGCATCACGTATGTGTGCAAGTGCAAGAGACGTATGTGTGGTAGCGTAGCATCACGTATGTGTGCAAGTGCAAGAGACGAGGTCGGTAGCGTAGCATCAGGTATGTGTGCAAGTGCAAGAGACGAGGTCGGTAGCGTAGCATCAGGTATGTGTGCAAGTGCAAGAGAACGAGGTCGGTAGCGTAGCATCACGTATGTGTGCAAGTGCAAGAGAAGAGACCGGTAGCGTAGCATCACGTATGTGTGCTAGTGCCATTGAACGTTATTAGCCCACCCCACCCCACCCCAACCCATCTGTAGCGTAGCATCAGGTATGTGTGCAAGTGCAAGAGACGAGGTCGGTAGCGTAGCATCAGGTATGTGTGCAAGTGCAAGAGACGAGGTCGGTAGCGTAGCATCAGGTATGTGTGCAAGTGCAAGAGACGAGGTCGGTAGCGTAGCATCAGGTATGTGTGCAAGTGCAAGAGACGAGGTCGGTAGCGTAGCATCACGTATGTGTGCAAGTGCAAGAGACGAGGTCGGTAGCGTAGCATCACGTATGTGTGCTAGTGCCATTGAACGTTATTAGCCCACCCCACCCCACCCCACCCCAACCCCTCTGTAGCGTAGCATCAGGTATGTGTGCAAGTGCAAGAGACGAGGTCGGTAGCGTAGCATCAGGTATGTGTGCAAGTGCAAGAGACGAGGTCGGTAGCGTAGCATCAGGTATGTGTGCAAGTGCAAGAGAGGAGGTCGGTAGCATAGCATCAGGTATGTGTGCAAGTGCAAGAGACGAGGTCGGTAGCGTAGCATCAAGTATGTGTGCTGGTGCCATTGAACGTTATTAGCCCACCCCACCCCACCCCAACCCACCCCACCCCATCGGCCAAAAAAAACACAAAAACGCACGTACGGTAAACCAGCCGCCAGCATAAACATGAACCTCTCGGATATGAAAGTTTGAACCCTACATAATTTTAAGCTAAAACAGAAAAAGAACAAAAAATCGCATCAGCCCAAGGAATCTGGAAGCTAAGACTGCTACGAAGTCCAAAAATCAATAGAGGCATCACCCGTTCGCACTCAGGCACTCAGGATGAATCCACAGGTCAAGGTGCTTGTCGACCTCTGGATCATCGGGTTCCAAGTCTACGGTCTTCTTCTTCAGCCGGGCAAAGGTGGCTTGTCGAAAGTTGCTGCGCCTCCAGGTAACACTGATGCCGCAGCGATGAAGGACATGTTTGCGAAGAACTAAATGGGTGATGATTGCTCTTCAAGATACAGTAAACTGTGACCCTTTGATCCACATCAACATGTCTGAGAAAACAACGACAACACCACAAACAGGGCCTGAGAGTTGAAATTTTCTTCAGGTTGAGGTACGTGACGAATAGCTCGTGCATATCCACGCGCTTACCGTAGTCCTCCTCACCTGGGATTCGTCAAAGCCCTTACTAATAATCCCCTTCTGTTATCTGTTCACATCAAAATAGAATGGATTCCATTCAAAATAATCCCCATGAATAGAATAATCCCCAGAATAATCCCAAAATAGATGGGATGGGGCCCGGGGCTTCTATGGAATGAGGGCGGTGTCGATCCATCCCCAGACCCCCAGGTGGCCTGAGAAAAGGCTATCTGTCTTGTCACTCTCAAGCGCCCGCTGGTAGAACCTGCCAGGCTCACCGAGTGATGGGGAAATCATGGAGGGACCCTTGGAAGGTCCATTCCGAATAGGCATGGGAGATCCAGACGCATCAATGCACCACAGGTACCGATAAATTGAATCCATGATATGAACATGGCTACTTGGGGGGTGTCCCAGCAGCCCACCATGTTGATGACACCAGCGAGTAATTCAATTAATCATTAATCACCATGAATCACCCGATACTTGACCTCTATTAGCTATTGTTAATCATGTATAATCTTGATTTACCAATCAATTTATTCATCCATTTAAACAGTATATCCCCCATTGTATCCATAATGGGGATATTCCATAGAATATATGAGATTAATCTCATGAAACCCCATTAAAAACAACCACAAGAAAGGTAGAAGTCCACTACTCACCGTGAATCATCATTATGAACCATGTATAACCATTAATCACCATTTATTGACCAATTGAAAGTGTCCCAAAATAGGGGTACCCAAAAAAATCATCAAAAATCATCCATATTTTACCAGGATGTTCCGTGAAATAAACCATCCAGCCATTTTGGGCTACCCTCTGGTAATTTAACATAGCTATGGAAATCACCATGCTATTAATGGGTAAATCCACTATAAATCACCATTTTCAATAGCTATGTTAGTTTACCAGAGGCTACCCCCCATTGATTCACCCAGCGCCAGGCGCACCACTCGGAGTTCTGCAGCTCGGGAAGGCCCTGGTTCACCGAGAAGCGACGGTGATAGTCCTGAAAGGATTGAACATGGGAATTCACCCACCAATTCAATTGGAATTTGATGGGATTTAATGGCATTTAGTGGGAATTTGATGGAATTTGAATGGGATTTAATGGCATTTAATGGGAATTTGATGGAATTTGAATGGGATTTGAATGGGACTTAAGAGGACTTTCATGGAAATAATTGGGAATACAAGTTACTTGTGATGGGAAATGAATGGGACAAATCAGTTTTCAGCACTGGGAATCTCATGGCTTCTTTAGGTCATCCCATCCGGCGAATCCTTGATGGCACACCTGGCTGTAGCTATTCTTTAGGGATATCATTGGAAAAAAACAACACTGCGGGGTGAATTACCCTCTGGTAAACTAACATAGCTATGGAAAATGGCCCATAGAAATAGATGGTTTACCTATTAAAAATGGTGATTTTCTATAGCTATGTTAAATTACCAGGGGGTAATGGGATATTGATGGTTTTTTTTCCACAATATGGCTAGAGATGGTTGGAGACGCGAGATATCAATGGAGACCATACATTGGCAAGTTGAAATATCCCAGCTGTGGCTCTGCCCAAAAATGTGAAGAAATTAAAAATTATCCAAACACCATGGCTGAATACAGAAACAGAGGGCAAACCCGAATGGGGTCCCACGGACAACCACAAAACATAGTGTTTTTCTGTTTTTGGTAGGAGACCATCCTATTTCTGGAAGTGGATTTGTAACCAATGCGCAATGGATTCGTGGAGGAAAATCACCCTGTCGTGATCATAGCCTTCCCAGAAAAAATCCATCGCCGCACCTTCACTTCTTTCACCTTGTCGTAGAAGCTGGTCCACACATCGCCTGGTGTTTTAGCAAAGGGAAAACCTCTCCAATGAATCGAAATCATTTGTGTTCTGTATGTAATATATACTATAAACATTGGTACAAATGTTTACAGCCTCCAAACGATGCCAGTCCCATCCATTTGCCTCCATCATTAGCCATCAAATCATCACAACGCACAGCCACACCTCCTTTCTTGTCGGCTCGCTGCCCAGCCAAGGCATTGATGTCATCTGTGCGCATGCCATCCTTATCCTGGTTGTTACGTCATCGCTTCCCCCAGGCCCAAAAAATAAATAGATCCAATATGAAACCAATGCTTTGCACGGGCTATCTTAAGCACTTGGATATGGAGGATAGGATGACAAACACCTGAAAATCGGATGCCCCGAACCGTTTCCTGTTGCGGGAATTCGCAGCTGACCAACTATGGACAGGAACCACACACCTGATGTATTAAGGGGTCCTGGTAGATGTCGATGGCCGTCTTGCACTTTAATTGCGTTGATTCCACTAAGTACTTCAGAGCCTCGATTCATGCGAGACTCGAAGCACAAATGAGGCAGCACTTTGTGTGTGCAACGCTTGCAGCCAATCCTCGTCCTTGGGATTTTTTAAGATACTGATAAAAAGGGATAAAAACATAGCAAAATGCTAATCTGCCAATCATTGTTGTTCTTCTGACCCCTTCTGTGGATTTTTTTTAAGAAGGCATCTCTCTGAGAAAAAACGCACAGAAATGTTTACTACTGTGATTAGATGCTTCCTGGAGATTCCTGAACCATGTTTTCAAATCCTATACGCTGTTGATCATGTCGTTTCTCCATCCGCTCCCTTCACCATTCACCTGTCATGACCCGACTCATCTCCCCCACTCAGCTTCCCAACATGTTCGCAGGTGACCGCTGCTTTGCTATTTTTGTGCCTCAGGGCCAGGTGATGGCGAAGCCACAAGCAACCCCCATTTGCCCCATGGTATCCGGCCAAGCCACTTGTCCATCAAAACCATGCTCATGGCCTTTTCGATATTTTCGATGTCCTGCCACGGAAATTTTATCTTGAGGCGGTTAGGAATGTTAGGAATCGCATCTACAACAGGTGCGGTTGGGATCTTTGACACTGGTGCTAAGTCACCAGTAGTTCATCTTGCTACTGGTAACACAGATCATATGCCTACAAGATTCGCTCAAACAATCAATTGAACGTCCTAAACCTTCTATTCCGAAAAACCACCCAAAAGCCGCCACGTTTAAGTAGGACCAACAAAATAGGATTATACCCGAGTACAACTTCAACAAAAGGGGATGAGACTAGTAAAGGTGATGACTGATGATTGCAGGGATTCGTTTGATTTGAAGTCTTTGCTGCTTTCAGTCTCGACTGTACCCCTTCTTTCAGGCTGCAACCAAGCAGTTATGTTTTCTTGCTAGATCCAAATCATGTGTTTGTCACCTTTTTGGTGCTCGGTTTAGATGTTAATTCTCTTGGATTGTTGGATATGACCCGTTATTCTTGATGATATCCCATGACATCATGATATCCCTATGTTATTCCCATGTTTCTTGGTGAGTATCCCACCATCTGCCTCATGTGCGGAACGAAGTTGTTCAAGCACAGAGGAACTCATGACGTCCTCGGCGCGATGGGTGCTGCAGGCTGGTTGGGTGAAGCTTTAAGCCGTTAGAATATGGTTTGGCGACAGTGCAATATAGGAGCATATAGGAGGTATATATGTGGGGCAAAAGAAAATAATGTTAGTATTACTCCCTTCCTTCTTGAAACACCTCCCCAGAAGCCATAGTTTAGTAGGGGACTTCACCATCTCCAGAAATCCAATCGCAGTTTCTGAGGCATTGGCCAGTCAGGGATCCCCCGGCTGTTTATTCCCCCCCTTTACATCTGAGCCAGCAAAATGAGGTTGGACATTGCACTGCAGAGATACAAACATCATTGAGAATGTGATTGAAGCCGGAAATACCTTAGACCCCCTAAGCTGAGGCATTGAAATGGCATCACTGAAAGCAATGGCCCAATATGTTCTCCGATCTTGTCTCAACGCGTTGAACGTCAAGGACACTCTGCACATATGGCTATGACCGTTTCAAGGGCCAAAGCAGCACAGAAAAAGTGTGAGAGACACCGGCTACTACAGCATTTGCTGTACAGCCAAAAGCTATGCTCTCAGCACACCTCAGACATTCTCTGACCACAACCCGCAGCAAACTGCAGCCCATGGCCATGGGCTTTCACACTTAAAGGCTCTTGTACTTGGCAATGGCTTGCTTCACGCTGTCCTGCTGATCGGCTGGGACCATGCACATGCAGGTCTCCATGGTCCCCACAGGGCCACCAAGGCAAGGGAAGAAGGGTTTCATGGTAGCAGGTGCCTTGGTCGCGAGTTCATCCTCAACAGCTTTCTTGGCTGCCTCGTTCATGGCACCTCCCATAGCGCCCATCATGCTAGCCATTCTGAATCGAATAGGTCGCGAGAGAAAGCAAGGCGAGAATGCTGAAGCAAAGCGGCTTCACCGGGACTCTGTGATTTGGGGTCAGAAGAGATAAGTCATGACATTCACCACCCGAGTTTGCCCATTTTCTTGCAAGATTGCACAAAAAAAAACTTTTCCTCTGCCTCTATACTCCTGCAATCCCTTCAAATCATTGCGAAACAGTTCCAAAGTCTACGAGTCTACAAAGCTCTCTGGTTTCGCTCTCAGTCTGTTTTCCTTTGCTCAGACTTCTCTACTTGCTGGCTACGTTGTATTTGCCATTGAGGGTTCAAGACAAAGCGCAGAAACATGCAGCAACGGCAAAATCTGTCAATCATGTGAGCGGTTCAATTTTGAAATAAACAACACAAGGTGCATGTTGCATGCGAATCTAAGCACTGATAGCAATGGCCCAATATTTTCTTCGATCTTGTCTCAACGCGTTGAACGTCAAGGACACTCTGCACATATGGCTATGACCGTTTCAAGGGCCAAAGCAGCACAGAAAAAGTGTGAGAGACACCGGCTACTACAGCATTTGCTGTACAGCCAAAAGCTATGCTCTCAGCACACCTCAGACATTCTCTGACCACAACCCGCAGCAAACTGCAGACCATGGCCATGGGCTTTCACACTTAAAGGCTCTTGTACTTGGCAATGGCTTGCTTCACGCTGTCCTGCTGATCGGCTGGGACCATGCACATGCAGGTCTCCATGGTCCCCACAGGGCCACCAAGGCAAGGGAAGAAGGGTTTCATGGTAGCAGGTGCCTTGGTCGCGAGTTCATCCTCAACAGCTTTCTTGGCTGCCTCGTTCATGGCACCTCCCATAGCGCCCATCATGCTAGCCATTCTGAATCGAATAGGTCGCGAGAGAAAGCAAGGCGAGAATGCTGAAGCAAAGCGGCTTCACCGGGACTCTGTGATTTGGGGTCAGAAGAGATAAGTCATGACATTCACCACCCGAGTTTGCCCATTTTCTTGCAAGATTGCACAAAAAAAAACTCTTCCTCTGCCTCTATACTCCTGCAATCCCTTCAAATCATTGCGAAACAGTTCCAAAGTCTACGAGTCTACAAAGCTCTCTGGTTTCGCTCTCAGTCTGTTTTCCTTTGCTCAGACTTCTCTACTTGCTGGCTACGTTGTATTTGCCATGGAGGGTTCAAGACAAAGCGCAGAAACATGCAGCAACGGCAAAATCTGTCAATCATGTGAGCAGTTCAATTTTGAAATAAACAACACAAGATGCATGTTGCATGCGAATCTAAGCACTGATAGCAATGGCCCAATATTTTCTTCGATCTTGTCTCAACGCGTTGAACGTCAAGGACACTCTGCACATATGGCTATGACCGTTTCAAGGGCCAAAGCAGCACAGAAAAAGTGTGAGAGACACCGGCTACTACAGCATTTGCTGTACAGCCAAAAGCTATGCTCTCAGCACACCTCAGACATTCTCTGACCACAACCCGCAGCAAACTGCAGCCCATGGCCATGGGCTTTCACACTTAAAGGCTCTTGTACTTGGCAATGGCTTGCTTCACGCTGTCCTGCTGATCGGCTGGGACCATGCACATGCAGGTCTCCATGGTCCCCACAGGGCCACCAAGGCAAGGGAAGAAGGGTTTCATGGTAGCAGGTGCCTTGGTCGCGAGTTCATCCTCAACAGCTTTCTTGGCTGCCTCGTTCATGGCACCTCCCATAGCGCCCATCATGCTAGCCATTCTGAATCGAATAGGTCGCGAGAGAAAGCAAGGCGAGAATGCTGAAGCAAAGCGGCTTCACCGGGACTCTGTGATTTGGGGTCAGAAGAGATAAGTCATGACATTCACCACCCGAGTTTGCCCATTTTCTTGCAAGATTGCACAAAAAAAAACTCTTCCTCTGCCTCTATACTCCTGCAATCCCTTCAAATCATTGCGAAACAGTTCCAAAGTCTACGAGTCTACAAAGCTCTCTGGTTTCGCTCTCAGTCTGTTTTCCTTTGCTCAGACTTCTCTACTTGCTGGCTACGTTGTATTTGCCATGGAGGGTTCAAGACAAAGCGCAGAAACATGCAGCAACGGCAAAATCTGTCAATCATGTGAGCGGTTCAATTTTGAAATAAACAACACAAGATGCATGTTGCATGCGAATCTAAGCACTGATAGCAATGGCCCAATATTTTCTTCGATCTTGTCTCAACGCGTTGAACGTCAAGGACACTCTGCACATATGGCTATGACCGTTTCAAGGGCCAAAGCAGCACAGAAAAAGTGTGAGAGACACCGGCTACTACAGCATTTGCTGTACAGCCAAAAGCTATGCTCTCAGCACACCTCAGACATTCTCTGACCACAACCCGCAGCAAACTGCAGCCCATGGCCATGGGCTTTCACACTTAAAGGCTCTTGTACTTGGCAATGGCTTGCTTCACGCTGTCCTGCTGATCGGCTGGGACCATGCACATGCAGGTCTCCATGGTCCCCACAGGGCCACCAAGGCAAGGGAAGAAGGGTTTCATGGTAGCAGGTGCCTTGGTCGCGAGTTCATCCTCAACAGCTTTCTTGGCTGCCTCGTTCATGGCACCTCCCATAGCGCCCATCATGCTAGCCATTCTGAATCGAATAGGTCGCGAGAGAAAGCAAGGCGAGAATGCTGAAGCAAAGCGGCTTCACCGGGACTCTGTGATTTGGGGTCAGAAGAGATAAGTCATGACATTCATCACCCGAGTTTGCCCATTTTCTTGCAAGATTGCACAAAAAAAACTCTTCCTCTGCCTCTATACTCCTGCAATCCCTTCAAATCATTGCGAAACAGTTCCAAAGTCTACGGTTCTACAAAGCTCTCTGGTTTCGCTCTCAGTCTGTTTTCCTTTGCTCAGACTTCTCTACTTGCTGGCTACGTTGTATTTGCCATGGAGGGTTCAAGACAAAGCGCAGAAACATGCAGCAACGGCAAAATCTGTCAATCATGTGAGCGGTTCAATTTTGAAATAAACAACACAAGATGCATGTTGCATGCGAATCTAAGCACTGATAGCAATGGCCCAATATTTTCTTCGATCTTGTCTCAACGCGTTGAACGTCAAGGACACTCTGCACATATGGTTATGACCGTTTCAAGGGCCAAAGCAGCACAGAAAAAGTGTGAGAGACACCGGCTACTACAGCATTTGCTGTACAGCCAAAAGCTATGCTCTCAGCACACCTTAGACATTCTCTGACCACAACCCGCAGCAAACTGCAGCCCATGGCCATGGGCTTTCACACTTAAAGGCTCTTGTACTTGGCAATGGCTTGCTTCACGCTGTCCTGCTGATCGGCTGGGACCATGCACATGCAGGTCTCCATGGTCCCCACAGGGCCACCAAGGCAAGGGAAGAAGGGTTTCATGGTAGCAGGTGCCTTGGTCGCGAGTTCATCCTCAACAGCTTTCTTGGCTGCCTCGTTCATGGCACCTCCCATAGCGCCCATCATGCTAGCCATTCTGAATCGAAAAGGTAGCGAGAGAAAGCAAGGCGAGAATGCTGAAGCAAAGCGGCTTCACCGGGACTCTGTGATTTGGGGTCAAAAAAGACAAATCATAACATTTGCCATCCTTGAATTTCCATCTTCTGCTTACAAGTTCACTGGGTTTTTTCTTAGTCTGTTTTCCTTCGCTCAGTGTTTCATACTTGCTACTTATTAGTTTCAGTTTCTGTCATTATATGTTATATGCCATAGAGGAATATGCATGCTACAGCAAAGGTCAGCACTGAAAGCAATCGCCGAGACTTTTCTTCGATCTTGTCGCAATTGAATCAATGTCAAGCACTCTATGCTTATACACGGGTGACTGGTGACCATTCCAACGGCCAAAGCAGCACAGGAAGAGCGTGAACGACACTGAGGGACACTAGCTAATAAAGTTTTTGCTGTACAAGACAGGATCATGTGAAAGGGGCTGCAAATGATAGCCATCTGGAAGATGGCAAGTGAGCAACTGGGGCAACTAATGCTACCAATATCACACGTGCCACACTTGCTGCTTTGAAGCGCAATGAGAAACGAACGGCAAACAGCCGAAGAGTGAAACTTTGAAACTTGGGTGCTTCCAGGATCAGAACGGTGACTTGCTCCTGGAGCACAGCTACAAGGAACCAAGGAATTGGCAAATGTGGATCCGCACCTTGCGCCGCAGCTACACCACGTGAGGAACCAAGTCCACCAGTCCTGGCCAACTTTCGTGGCGTGAAAATTTTGGAGCCAACATCCCAGTGGATGGTTTTTCTCATTTCAGTTTTGTTTGCGAAAACCGCGGCATCGCCTGGAACTGCGCAAAAAATTCTTATGCTCTTCAACCCAAGCCTCAACGCCTAACTCCGTGAGAAATATGATACTTGCTGACACTTGGTAGATTAGCAAACTATAATCAATTCCACGCGTGTTCCAATCTTTTCATAATTTCATGTGACAAGTCGACATGTGGGCCTCCTGCTCGCTGCAGCTGGCAGCACCCTTCACCTTCGGCTCCGCTTGTCGCAAGTGATTCACAGAAAACGCACAAATCAATGCGGGGGTGTCCAGAAAACGTTGGTATGAATCACCTAACAAGATATGTGATACATGTACAGTATATATATATTATTTACTTATTTGTTTAATTAATTTATTTATTTATTGTTTATTTATCTATTTATTTATTTATATATATATATTCCAACATGATCATATAATAGGGATTAGTCCCAGGACTAACAAAGGTTTCCTCAGAAAAAATGGGGTCCTTGGTGGCGCCCCCGCCCCAGTGATGCGTATTGCTTTATAACCCAGTTTGAGTATGTAGTTCATGTAGTTCGATATATCATAAACCCTAATTGTTAAAGTTATAAGTTATAAGACAATTTAGCTAACGAACTGGGGCTCCACCTTGTAGGAATATCCTGCAAGATTGATGATTCCAGTCGAACAGATTTAAGTTAATCAGCCAACAAACATAAGTGCGGCGGGAAGGCAATAACATGAACACAGCCCAAAGGGTTGGCTGAGATTTGTTTCGGGTTATCTTTGAACACCACCTAAACGGATCAGCCTTGCAGAGTAAGATCTCAATATATCTCAATCAATAGGTGGTTGAATTCTGCTGAAAAATTGGACATTCATAGAACCACCCGAAACTTGGGTTCGAAACATGACTTCACCGCAGTTCAGACTGTCAGTAGTTGTAGGTAGTTGTAGCAACTGGCCAACCCAAAATAGTTATCTGATGTTATCTAAACATATCTAAACAATCTAAACTGAAAAAAAATGGTACCCTTTCACCCTTTCCCTTAAAAAACACTGGGGATGTATCCATGGCGCTTAACTCGGTCGCCCCATGGGTCCATGGCCGGTCCATGGCCTCCTTGGGCAGCACCTTGTGGGGATTTCAACCATGTGGAGACCGGAAAGGCGACAAAATACCCTGCGAAGTGGCAATGATCCAATAATCATCTGCAATCTACAACAAATCGAAAAAAAATGGTTTTAAAAATAGTGGTCCCAATAAAAACATGTTGTCCCCAACCCGAACGTTGCAGCATGTCCTACGAAGATCTGTGGTGGGCCATGCTAAAACTGTGATGTTGAAACTCATGCTTAACCCATCGGATTTGGGGTGCCACGTTTTTTGGGCAAGTCCGTAGGTGCAACGGTCAGAGCACATGGCTTCAGGTAATGCCACTTCTGGATATATATATATATATATATATTATATATATATATTATATATATATGTTATATATATATGTTATATATATATGTTATATATTATATATATATATATGTTATATATATATATTATATATATGTTATATATATATATATTATATATATGTTATATATATATTATAATATTGTATATTGACCTGTATTAACTGATTGATGACCATACCGTGTATGGCTACATCATCCAACTTTTGACCCTAGCACAATATTGCTAGTTCAATCAGAAGGCTGCCAGCTGCCACCTCGCTATCACTGCTGGCTGCGCCGGTATCACCTCGGGGTGAGCCCCAAGGTCCAACCCACAGCATGGAGATGTTCGGATTTACCCTGCAACAAGTGCAAGTACGTTGCGAAAAACAAAAAAGTAAGACTTAGGCACATTTTATTGGGGCAAGCACTTGAAGCCTTCAAACCCCATGGGTTTGTATGTGTAATCAAAGTGTAGAGGTCGAAATTCCCTGTTACAAATACTCGAAAAGATTAAAAAGACAAGTCCAGAGAAGGGACAGAGAAAGAGAAAGAGTTCTCAAGAGAGGAGGAGAGAAGAGAGGAGTCACGAAAAGAAAGGAGAAGAAAAGAAAAAGAGGAGTCAAGAGAAGAGAAAGAGGAATCAAGGGAAGAGAAGCGAACGAGTAGTCAACTGTCAAGACCTCCTGACACTTCCGCCCCAGGCTCGGCTGGGTATTGCTGGTATATTCCAGCTTTCGGGTGCCAAGTTTTTCATAATGGGGTTGCTTGAATGACGGAATCGTTGCAAGAAATTTCAAAGGAATATTGAGACTTTGCTGAGAGCTACAGGGACTCCAAGACAAATGTCCTTCCAACGCTGGACAGAAACCAACTTGACCTTGCCCCTCATGTCTGAGCTCACAACCAAGGAGACTTTCAGGCCCAAGATCGGCCATGTCTCCCCCCAGCATTTTGAAGCCCTGCACATATCTACATGTTTGTGCAAAGCAGGAGCGTCCAAGAATAGCACGCACTTCCCACTTGAATTCATAAATGCTCCTCCGGTTGACAGGTTGACAGCCAGGAATTGGCTGATGTTCGCTATGAACATGTGAATCTGCGCATTCCCATCATGGACAACACCGCACCTCAAGCAGGTCTGCGAAGGCCTAAGCTGAAGCTGTACAGGTCAGAACACAAAAAGAATACACTAGAAAGTCAAGGGCACGTTGACTGCAAAGAATGTCTTTGTTTTTTTGGGCATGATTCACAAATAAGATTCTCTTCACCAGAAACGTTTGTCAACTTCGTGGACTGCTCTCCTGATTTCAATGTGTGGATGACGTGTCCTTTTTCAAGCTGCCTTGTCGTCCACTTGGACCGTCATGATCAGGTCCTTGGTCCATTTTTGCAAACCGAGCTGAAAGGACTAGAAGGGCCATCCGGCCTATCATAGACAACACGTTTAGGCTCAGGCTCCACATGACTAAAACCCAACATTTTGCCCAAGTAGTTAGGCTGAAAGACTGCAACCATTGCAACTGAGGCATGAAGCACTCTTGAAACAAAAACTATCCATAAACTCCACAAATGTTGTTCAAAAGCAGAGTCCAAGGAAATGTAAAGAGGATGCTGAGGGACAACCAGAAGCCGAGGCAGCAACCCAGCAAGTGCCACTGCAGTGCCCCACCGGCAACACAAAGAATACTTGGAGCCCAAAGTGCTGTGGCAAGTACCGTGAAGCGACAGATCTCCACCGAGTTGGCTCTCCCAGAGGCTTCCCACTGCCCCCAGGGATGAGCCGATAGTGGTCATATCATCCTTTTGAACAGCCACTGGGATGCCATGGAAGAGTGATGACCTGCTGGGTGATCATCCTTGCGTATATTATGCATTGCAAGCAAATTGAAACCATATATCATATAAACATTATAAACCATGTCCATCCCCTTTTTTAATGGGAACAGCAAGCGTATAACAAGCTCGGAGGCCCACCTGACCCAATAGGATACCCCATTCCATCGTTGCATCCTCATTTCCCCTATCTGATGGACATGTTTCATGGCCCCTTGAGACACCGCCACACACGAAATCTCCACAGCAGGGATGCCTTCCTTTTTCCGCACACCATCACGACCATCACCTCTTCGACGCACGGATGTTGCACCTGGTAGATGTTGACTTTGCCACTGTTCAAAGCTCGAAGGAGTGAAATGGCTGTGTCTGACGATGGGGAATACATGGTATGCCCATAAAATGTCCATGAATAAAAGAACAAATGATGAGCAAACAGTGGATTTGGGCCCTGGTGAAACAACCTAAAAGAGCAGCATCGTTTTTTGCGCTCACTCGCGTTATCTTCTTTGTTCACCTGAGTTCTGGAGCAACTGCATTCCTGCAATGAGTGTCCCAACTTGCAAGTGTGAATCTCCTTTTCCAAGAAAAATCATCCAGTAATATCCAGTAATCATCCAATCAAGCCATCGATCGATTCAAAAAATCAGTACTATTTTTTCGTGGGTTAGTCTCAAGATAGATGATACAGTTGCAATTTCTGCCACGTTCATAGGGCAAAATGATGACAAACGGATCAATTTTGGCATGACAACCCCACATCGACCAAGTGCCCCGACGCAGTCTGTGTTTCCTGGCGGAAAGAAGGGACCATGGGCGTTGGCTCAGGTCTGGGAAATCACCAAGATCAGTGGATTGTTTTCTTGCGGAAAATCTGAAGGAAACCAAGGTGTTTTTTTGCCATCAAAATTTAGGGTTTCCTCTTGATCTTCCCAAAGGATTTCCCGAAAGATTCCGAGTCTGGGACACCTGAAAGTAGAGATGGGCTCGTCCAGAAAGTAAGGTGTCTTTGCGCCCGAAATGGCCATCAAATCATATGGGACTGGAAAATGATGCACTATTTTTGGCCAAAGCATGCCAAAGCCAAATGGGAGTACAACAGTATAACTGTATAACTATCACCACCCAACCAACCATCTTCCAGTCGCCAACCTCATTGGTGCTGCGGGCCTCAAGACAGGGGATGTGTTGGATGAGGTGAGAGCTCAACAACAGCTTTCTTGGCTGCCTCGTTCATGGCGCCTCCCATAGCGCCCATCATGCTAGCCATTCTGAATCGACAAGGTAGCGAGAGAAAGCAAGGCGAGAATGCTGAAGCAAAGCGGCTTCACCGGGACTCTGTGATTTGGGGTCAAAAAAGACAAATCATAACATTTGCCATCCTTGAATTTCCATCTTCTGCTTACAAGTTCACTGGGTTTTTTCTTAGTCTGTTTTCCTTCGCTCAGTGTTTCATACTTGCTACTTATTAGTTTCTGTCACTATATGTTATATGCCATAGAGGAAGATGCCATAGAGGAAGATGCATGCTACAGCAAAGGTCAGCGCTGAAAGCAATCGCCGAGACTTTTCTTCCATCTTGTCGCAATTGAATCAATGTCAAGCACTCATGCTTATACACCGGTGACTCGTGACCATTCCAACGGCCAAAGCAGCACAGGAAGAGCGTGAACGACACTGAGGGACACTAGCTAATAAAGCTTTTGCTGTACAAGACAGGATCATGTGAAAGGGGCTGCAAATGATAGCCATCTGGAAGATGGCAAGTGAGCAACTGGGGCAACTAATGCTACCAATATCACACGTGCCACACTTGCTGCTTTGAAGCGCAATGGGAAACGAACGGCAAACAGCCGAAGAGTGAAACTTTGAAACTTGGATGCTTCCAGGATCAGAACGGTGACTTGCTCCAGGCCGCAGCTACACCACGTGAGGAACCAAGTCCACCAGTCCTGGCCAACTTTCGTGGCGTGAAAATTTTGGAGCCAACATCCCAGTGGATGGTTTTTCTCATTTCAGTTTTGTTTGCGAAAACCGCGGCATCGCCTGGAACTGCGCAAAAAATTCTTATGCTCTTCAACCCAAGCCTCAACGCCTAACTCCGTGATAAATATGATACTTGCTGACACTTGGTAGATTAGCAAACTATAATCAATTCCACGGCGTGTTCCAATCTTTTCATAATTTCATGTGACAAGTCGACATGTGGGCCTCCTGCTCGCTGCAGCTGGCAGCACCCTTCACCTTCGGCTCCGCTTGTCGCAAGTGATTCACAGAAAACGCACAAATCAATGCGGGGGTGTCCAGAAAACGTTGGTATGAATCACCTAACAAGATATGTGATACATGTACAGTATATATATATTATTTACTTATTTGTTTAATTAATTAATTTATTTATTGTTTATTTATCTATTTATTTATTTATATATATATTCCAACATGATCATATAATAGGGATTAGTCCCAGGACTAACAAAGGTTTCCTCAGAAAAAATGGGGTCCTTGGTGGCGCCGCCCCAGTGATGCGTATTGCTTTATAACCCAGTTTGAGTATGTAGTTCATGTAGTTCGATATATCATAAACCCTAATTGTTAAAGTTATAAGTTATAAGACAATTTAGCTAACGAACTGGGGCTCCATCTTGTAGGAATATCCTGCAAGATTGATGATTCCAGTCGAACAGATTTAAGTTAATCAGCCAACAAACATAAGTGCGGGGGGAAGGCAATAACATGAACACAGCCCAAAGGGTTGGCTGAGATTTGTTTCGGGTTATCTTTGAACATCACCTAAACGGATTAGCCTTGCAGAGTAAGATCTCAATATATCTCAATCAATAGGTGGTTGAATTCTGCTGAAAAATTGGACATTCATAGAACCACCCGAAACTTGGGTTCGAAACATGACTTCACCGCAGTTCAGACTGTCAGTAGTTGTAGCAACTGGCCAACCCAAAATAGTTATCTGATGTTATCTAAACATATCTAAACAATCTAAACTGAAAAAAATGGTACCCTTTCACCCTTTCCCCTAAAAAACACTGGGGATGTATCCATGGCGCTTAACTCGGTCGCCCCATGGGTCCATGGCCGGTCCATGGCCTCCTTGCGCAGCACCTTGTGGGGATTTCAACCATGTGGAGACCGGAAAGGCGACAAAATACCCTGCGAAGTGGCAATAATCCAATAATCATCTGCAATCTACAACAAATCGAAAAAAAATGGTTTTAAAAATAGTGGTCCCAATAAAAACATGTTGTCCCCAACCCGAACGTTGCAGCATGTCCTACGAAGATCTGTGGTGGGCCATGCTAAAACTGTGATGTTGAAACTCATGCTTAACCCATCGGATTTGGGGTGCCACGTTTTTTGGGCAAGTCCGTAGGTGCAACGGTCAGAGCACATGGCTTCAGGTAATGCCACTTCTGGATATATATATATATATATATATTATATATATATATTATATATATATGTTATATATATATGTTATATATATATGTTATATATTATATATATATATATGTTATATATATATATTATATATATGTTATATATATATATATTATATATATGTTATATATATATTATAATATTGTATATTGACCTGTATTAACTGATTGATGACCATACCGTGTATGGCTACATCATCCAACTTTTGACCCTAGCACAATATTGCTAGTTCAATCAGAAGGCTGCCAGCTGCCACCTCGCTATCACTGCTGGCTGCGCCGGTATCACCTCGGGGTGAGCCCCAAGGTCCAACCCACAGCATGGAGATGTTCGGATTTACCCTGCAACAAGTGCAAGTACGTTGCGAAAAACAAAAAAGTAAGACTTAGGCACATTTTATTGGGGCAAGCACTTGAAGCCTTCAAACCCCATGGGTTTGTATGTGTAATCAAAGTGTAGAGGTCGAAATTCCCTGTTACAAATACTCGAAAAGATTAAAAAGACAAGTCCAGAGAAGGGACAGAGAAAGAGAAAGAGTTCTCAAGAGAGGAGGAGAGAAGAGAGGAGTCACGAAAAGAAAGGAGAAGAAAAGAAAAAGAGGAGTCAAGAGAAGAGAAAGAGGAATCAAGGGAAGAGAAGCGAACGAGTAGTCAACTGTCAAGACCTCCTGACACTTCCACCCCAGGCTCGGCTGGGTATTGCTGGTATATTCCAGCTTTCGGGTGCCAAGTTTTTCATAATGGGGTTGCTTGAATGACGGAATCGTTGCAAGAAATTTCAAAGGAATATTGAGACTTTGCTGAGAGCTACAGGGACTCCAAGACAAATGTCCTTCCAACGCTGGACAGAAACCAACTTGACCTTGCCCCTCATGTCTGAGCTCGCAACCAAGGAGACTTTCAGGCCCAAGATCGGCCATGTCTCCCCCCAGCATTTTGAAGCCCTGCACATATCTACATGTTTGTGCAAAGCAGGAGCGTCCAAGAATAGCACGCACTTCCCACTTGAATTCATAAATGCTCCTCCGGTTGACAGGTTGACAGCCAGGAATTGGCTGATGTTCGCTATGAACATGTGAATCTGCGCATTCCCATCATGGACAACACCGCACCTCAAGCAGGTCTGCGAAGGCCTAAGCTGAAGCTGTACAGGTCAGAACACAAAAAGAATACACTAGAAAGTCAAGGGCACGTTGACTGCAAAGAATGTCTTTGTTTTTTTGGGCATGATTCACAAATAAGATTCTCTTCACCAGAAACGTTTGTCAACTTCGTGGACTGCTCTCCTGATTTCAATGTGTGGATGACGTGTCCTTTTTCAAGCTGCCTTGTCGTCCACTTGGACCGTCATGATCAGGTCCTTGGTCCATTTTTGCAAACCGAGCTGAAAGGACTAGAAGGGCCATCCGGCCTATCATAGACAACACGTTTAGGCTCAGGCTCCACATGACTAAAACCCAACATTTTGCCCAAGTAGTTAGGCTGAAAGACTGCAACCATTGCAACTGAGGCATGAAGCACTCTTGAAACAAAAACTATCCATAAACTCCACAAATGTTGTTCAAAAGCAGAGTCCAAGGAAATGTAAAGAGGATGCTGAGGGACAACCAGAAGCCGAGGCAGCAACCCAGCAAGTGCCACTGCAGTGCCCCACCGGCAACACAAAGAATACTTGGAGCCCAAAGTGCTGTGGCAAGTACCGTGAAGCGACAGATCTCCACCGAGTTGGCTCTCCCAGAGGCTTCCCACTGCCCCCAGGGATGAGCCGATAGTGGTCATATCATCCTTTTGAACAGCCACTGGGATGCCATGGAAGAGTGATGACCTGCTGGGTGATCATCCTTGCGTATATTATGCATTGCAAGCAAATTGAAACCATATATCATATAAACATTATAAACCATGTCCATCCCCTTTTTTAATGGGAACAGCAAGCGTATAACAAGCTCGGAGGCCCACCTGACCCAATAGGATACCCCATTCCATCGTTGCATCCTCATTTCCCCTATCTGATGGACATGTTTCATGGCCCCTTGAGACACCGCCACACACGAAATCTCCACAGCAGGGATGCCTTCCTTTTTCCGCACACCATCACGACCATCACCTCTTCGACGCACGGATGTTGCACCTGGTAGATGTTGACTTTGCCACTGTTCAAAGCTCGAAGGAGTGAAATGGCTGTGTCTGACGATGGGGAATACATGGTATGCCCATAAAATGTCCATGAATAAAAGAACAAATGATGAGCAAACAGTGGATTTGGGCCCTGGTGAAACAACCTAAAAGAGCAGCATCGTTTTTTGCGCTCACTCGCGTTATCTTCTTTGTTCACCTGAGTTCTGGAGCAACTGCATTCCTGCAATGAGTGTCCCAACTTGCAAGTGTGAATCTCCTTTTCCAAGAAAAATCATCCAGTAATATCCAGTAATCATCCAATCAAGCCATCGATCGATTCAAAAATCAGTACTATTTTTTCGTGGGTTAGTCTCAAGATAGATGATACAGTTGCAATTTCTGCCACGTTCATAGGGCAAAATGATGACAAACGGATCAATTTTGGCATGACAACCCCACATCGACCAAGTGCCCCGACGCAGTCTGTGTTTCCTGGCGGAAAGAAGGGACCATGGGCGTTGGCTCAGGTCTGGGAAATCACCAAGATCAGTGGATTGTTTTCTTGCGGAAAATCTGAAGGAAACCAAGGTGTTTTTTTGCCATCAAAATTTAGGGTTTCCTCTTGATCTTCCCAAAGGATTTCCCGAAAGATTCCGAGTCTGGGACACCTGAAAGTAGAGATGGGCTCGTCCAGAAAGTAAGGTGTCTTTGCGCCCGAAATGGCCATCAAATCATATGGGACTGGAAAATGATGCACTATTTTTGGCCAAAGCATGCCAAAGCCAAATGGGAGTACAACAGTATAACTGTATAACTATCACCACCCAACCAACCATCTTCCAGTCGCCAACCTCATTGGTGCTGCGGGCCTCAAGACAGGGGATGTGTTGGATGAGGTGAGAGCTCAACAACAGCTTTCTTGGCTGCCTCGTTCATGGCGCCTCCCATAGCGCCCATCATGCTAGCCATTCTGAATCGACAAGGTAGCGAGAGAAAGCAAGGCGAGAATGCTGAAGCAAAGCGGCTTCACCGGGACTCTGTGATTTGGGGTCAAAAAAGACAAATCATAACATTTGCCATCCTTGAATTTCCATCTTCTGCTTACAAGTTCACTGGGTTTTTTCTTAGTCTGTTTTCCTTCGCTCAGTGTTTCATACTTGCTACTTATTAGTTTCTGTCACTATATGCCATAGAGGAAGATGCCATAGAGGAAGATGCCATAGAGGAAGATGCATGCTACAGCAAAGGTCAGCGCTGAAAGCAATCGCCGAGACTTTTCTTCCATCTTGTCGCAATTGAATCAATGTCAAGCACTCATGCTTATACACTGGTGACTCGTGACCATTCCAACGGCCAAAGCAGCACAGGAAGAGCGTGAACGACACTGAGGGACACTAGCTAATAAAGCTTTTGCTGTACAAGACAGGATCATGTGAAAGGGGCTGCAAATGATAGCCATCTGGAAGATGGCAAGTGAGCAACTGGGGCAACTAATGCTACCAATATCACACGTGCCACACTTGCTGCTTTGAAGCGCAATGGGAAACGAACGGCAAACAGCCGAAGAGTGAAACTTTGAAACTTGGATGCTTCCAGGATCAGAACGGTGACTTGCTCCAGGCCGCAGCTACACCACGTGAGGAACCAAGTCCACCAGTCCTGGCCAACTTTCGTGGCGTGAAAATTTTGGAGCCAACATCCCAGTGGATGGTTTTTCTCATTTCAGTTTTGTTTGCGAAAACCGCGGCATCGCCTGGAACTGCGCAAAAATTTCTTATGCTCTTCAACCCAAGCCTCAACGCCTAACTCCGTGATAAATATGATACTTGCTGACACTTGGTAGATTAGCAAACTATAATCAATTCCATGCGTGTTCCAATCTTTTCATAATTTCATGTGACAAGTCGACATGTGGGCCTCCTGCTCGCTGCAGCTGGCAGCACCCTTCACCTTCGGCTCCGCTTGTCGCAAGTGATTCACAGAAAACGCACAAATCAATGCGGGGGTGTCCAGAAAACGGTGGTATGAATCACCTAACAAGATATGTGATACATGTACAGTATATATATATATATTATTTACTTATTTGTTTAATTAATTTATTTATTGTTTGTTTGTTTAGTTATTTATTATTTATTTATCTATTTATTTATTTATATGTATTCCAACATGATCATATAATAGGGATTAGTCCCAGGACTAACAAAGGTTTCCTCAGAAAAAATGGGGTCCTTGGTGGCGCCCCCGCCCCAGTGATGCGTATTGCTTTATAACCCAGTTTGAGTATGTAGTTCATGTAGTTCGATATATCATAAACCCTAATTGTTAAAGTTATAAGTTATAAGACAATTTAGCTAACGAACTGGGGCTCCACCTTGTAGGAATATCCTGCAAGATTGATGATTCCAGTCGAACAGATTTAAGTTAATCAGCCAACAAACATAAGTGCGGTGGGAAGGCAATAACATGAACACGGCCCAAAGGGTTGGCTGAGATTTGTTTCGGGTTATCTTTGAACACCACCTAAACGGATCAGCCTTGCAGAGTAAGATCTCAATATATCTCAATCAATAGGTGGTTGAATTCTGCTGAAAAATTGGACATTCATAGAACCACCCGAAACTTGGGTTCGAAACATGACTTCACCGCAGTTCAGACTGTCAGTAGTTGTAGGTAGTTGTAGCAACTGGCCAACCCAAAATAGTTATCTAATGTTATCTAAACATATCTAAACAATCTAAACTGAAAAAAATGGTACCCTTTCACCCTTTCCCTTAAAAAACACGGGGGATGTATCCATGGCGCTTAACTCGGTCGCCCCATGGGTCGGCGACATCCCATGGCCTCCTCGGGCGGCACCTTGTGGGGATTTCAACCATGTGAAAAACCGGAAAGTCGACAAAATACCCCGCGAAGTGGCAATAATCCAATAATCATCTGCAATCTACAACAAATCAAAAAAAAAATGATTTTGAAAATAGTCGTCCCAATAAAAACATGTTGGCCCCAACCCGAACGTTGCAGCATGTCCTACGAAGATCTGTGGTGTGCCATGCTAAAACTGTGATGTTGAAACTCATGCTTAACCCATCGGATTTGGGGTGCCACGTTTTTTGGGCAAGTCCGTATGTGCAACTGTCAGAGCACATGGTTTCAGGTAATGCCACCTATAATGGCTATGTATTATATAATATTATACATTATGGGTAGATCATCCATAAAAATTATGAGTAATTCCTTTTCTGGCTATATATTATATAATATTATATATTGACCCGTATTAACTGATTGATGACCATAGCGTGTATGGGTACATCATCCAACTTTTGACCCTAGCACAATATTGCTATTTCAATCAGAAGGCTGCCAGCTGCCACCTCGCTATCACTGCTGGCTGCGCCGGTATCACCTCGGGGTGAGCCCCAAGGTCCAACCCGCAGCATGGAGATGTTCGCATTTAACCTGCAACAATTGCAAGTACGTTGCAAAAAAAAAGTAAGACTTAGGCACATTTTATTGGGGCAAGCACTTGAAGCCTTCAAACCCCATGGGTTTGTATGTGTAATCAAAGTGTAGAGGTCGAATTTCCCTGTTACAAACACTCGAAGAGATTAAAAAGACAAGTCCAGAGAGGGGACAGAGAAAGAGAAAGAGTTCTCAAGAGAGGAGGAGAGAAGAGAGGAGTCACGAAAGTGTAGGAGAAGAAAAGAAAAAGAGGAGTCAAGAGAAGAGAAAGAGGAATCAAGGGAAGAGAAGCGAACGAGTAGTCAACTGTCAAGACCTCCTGACACTTCCAGCACGGACTCGGCTGGGTATTACTGGTATATTCCAGCTTTCGGGTGCCAAGTTTAGACCCATGAGGTGGGCAGGCAATTCTTGTTGTTTGGATTCGGTGTTCATGATGGGGTTGCTTGAATGACGGAATCGTTTCAAGAAATTTCAAAGGAATATTGAGACTTTGCTGAGAGCTACAGGGACTCCAAGACAAATGTCCTTCCAGCGCTGGACAGAAACCAACTTGACCTTGCCCCTCCTGTCTGAGCTCGCAACCGGGCCGAAGATCAGCCATGTCTCCCCCCAGCATTTTGAAGCCCTGCACATATCTACATGTTTGTGCAAAGCAGGAGCGTCCAAGAATAGCACGCACTTCCCACTTGAATTCATAAATGCTCCTCCGGTTAACAGGTTGACAGCCAGGAATGGGCTGATGTTCGCTATGAACATGTGAATCTGCGCATTCCCATCATGGACAACACCGCACCTCAAGCAGGTCTGCGAAGGCCTAAGCTGAAGCTGTACAGATCAGAACACAAAAAGAATACACTAGAAAGTCAAGGGCACGTTGACTGCAAAGAATGTCTTTGTTTTTTTGGCATGATTCACAAATAAGATTCTCTTCACCAGAAACGTTTGTCAACTTCGTGGACTGCTCTCCTGATTTCAATGTGTGGATGACGTGTCCTTTTTCAAGCTGCCTTGTCGTCCACTTGCACCGTCATGATCAGGTCCTTGGTCCATTTTTGCAAACCGAGCTAGAAGGACTAGAAGGGCCATCCGGCCTATCATAGACAACACGTTTAGGCTCAGGCTCCACATGACTAAAACCCAACATTTTGCCCAAGTAGTGGGGAAGGAGACAGAAGTTAGGCTGAAGGACTGCAACCATTGCAACAGAGGCATGAAGCACTCTTGAAACAAAAACTCCCCATAAACTCCACAAATGTTGTTCAAAAGCAGAGTCCAAGGAAATGTAAAGAGGATGCTGAGGGATGACCAGAAGCTGAGGCAGCAACCCAGTGCCACTGCAGTGCCCCACCGGCAACACAAAGAATACTTGGAGCCCAAAGTGCTGTGGCAAGTACCGTGAAGCGACAGATCTCCACCGAGTTGGCTCTCCCAGAGGCTTCCCACTGCCCCCAGGGATGAGCCGATAGTGGTCATATCATCCTTTTGAACAGCCACTGGGATGCCATGGAAGAGTGATGACCTGCTGGGTGATCATCCTTGCGTATATTATGCATTGCAAGCAAATTGAAACCATATATCATATAAACATTATAAACCATGTCCATCCCCTTTTTTAATGGGAACAGCAAGCGTATAACAAGCTCGGAGGCCCACCTGACCCAATAGGATACCCCATTCCATCGTTGCATCCTCATTTCCCCTATCTGATGGACATGTTTCATGGCCCCTTGAGACACCGCCACACACGAAATCTCCACAGCAGGGATGCCTTCCTTTTTCCGCACACCATCACGACCATCACCTCTTCGACGCACGGATGTTGCACCTGGTAGATGTTGACTTTGCCACTGTTCAAAGCTCGAAGGAGTGAAATGGCTGTGTCTGAAGATGGGGTCCGGGGTGTACACGGTATGCCCTTAAAATGTCCATGAATAAAAGAACAAATGATGAGCAAACAGTGGATTTGGGCCCTGGTGAAACAACCTAAAAGAGCAGCATCGTTTTTTTGCGCTCACTCGCGTTATCTTCTTTGTTCACCTGAGTTCTGGAGCAACTGCATTCCTGCAATGAGTGTCCCGACTTGCAAGTGTGAATCTCCTTTTCCAAGAAAAATCATCCAGTAATCATCCAATCAAGCCATCGATCGATTCAAAAAGCAGTACTATTTTTTCGTGGGTTAGTCTCAAGATAGATGATACAGTTGCAATTTCTGCCACGTTCATAGGGCAAAATGATGACAAACGGATCAATCTTGGGATGACAAGCCCACATCGACCAAGTGCCCCGACGCAGTCTGTGCTTCCTGGCGTCGGACCATGGGCGTTGGCTCAGGTCTAGGAAATCACCAAGATCAGTGGATTGGTTTGTTGCGGAAAATCTGAAGGAAACCAAGGTGCTTTTTTACCATCAAAATTTGGGGTTTCCTCTTGATCTTCCCAAAGGATTTCCCGAAAGATTCCGAGTCTGGGACACCTGAAATGTAGAGATGGGCTCGTCCGGAAAGTAAGGTCTCTTTGCGCCCGAAATGGCCATCAAATCATAGGGGACTGGAAAATGATGCACTATTTTTGGCCAAAGCATGCCAAAGCCAAATGGGAGTACAACAGTGTAACAGTATAACTATCACCACCCAACCAACCATCTTCCAGTCGCCAACCTCATTGGTGCTGCGGGCCTCAAGACAGGGGATGTGTTGGATGAGGTGAGAGCTCAACAACAGCTTTCTTGGCTGCCTCGTTCATGGCGCCGCCCATAGCGCCCATCATGCTAGCCATTCTGAATCGACAAGGTAGCGAGAGAAAGCAAGGCGAGAATGCTGAAGCAAAGCGGCTTCACCGGGACTCTGTGATTTGGGGTCAAAAAAGACAAATCATAACATTTGCCATCCTTGAATTTCCATCTTCTGCTTACAAGTTCACTGGGTTTTTTCTTAGTCTGTTTTCCTTCGCTCAGTGTTTCATACTTGCTACTTATTAGTTTCTGTCACTATATGTTATATGCCATGGAGGAAGATGCATGCTACAGCAAAGGTCAGCACTGAAAGCAATCGCCGAGACTTTTCGTCGATCTTGTCGCAATTGAATCAATGTCAAGCACTCTATGCTTATACACGGGTGACTGGTGGCCATTCCAACGGCCAAAGCAGCACAGGAAGAGCGTGAACGACACTGAGGGACACTTAGCTAATAAAGCTTTTGCTGTACAAGACAGGATCATGTGAAAGGGGCTGCAAATGATAGCCATCTGGAAGATGGCAAGTGAGCAACTGGGGCAACTAATGCTACCAATATCACACGTGCCACACTTGCTGCTTTGAAGCGCAATGGGAAACGAACGGCAAACAGCCGAAGAGTGAAACTTTGAAACTTGGGTGCTTCCAGGATCAGAACGGTAACTTGCTCCTGGAGCACAGCTACAAGGAACCAAGGAATTGGCAAATGTGGATCCGCACCTTGCGCCGCAGCTACACCACGTGAGGAACCAAGTCCACCAGTCCTGGCCAACTTTCGTGGCGTGAAAATTTTGGAGCCAACATCCCAGTGGATGGTTTTTCTCATTTCAGTTTTGTTTGCGAAAACCGCGGCATCGCCTGGAACTGCGCAAAAATTTCTTATGCTCTTCAACCCAAGCCTCAACGCCTAACTCCGTGAGAAATATGATACTTGCTGACACTTGGTAGATTGGCAAACTATAATCAATTCCACGCGTGTTCCAATCTTTTCATAATTTCATGTGACAAGTCGACATGTGGGCCTCCTGCTCGCTGCAGCTGGCAGCACCCTTCGCCTTCGGCTCCGCTTGTCGCAAGTGATTCACAGAAAACGCACAAATCAATGCGGGGGTGTCCAGAAAACGGTGGTATGAATCACCTAACAAGATATGTGATACATGTACAGTATATATATATATATTTATTTATTTATTTCCCCGCCTGCCAGGTGAGGGTTGTTAGATTTTATCTAAGTTGCCTGGTCCTCCTCCTCCTCCTGCCGCCTCCTCCTCCCCTCCTCCTCCTCTCGTTGTCTTCCTCCTCTCGTTGTCCTCCTCGTCCTCCTGCTCAACTGCGACTCGCGATCCACAGTGTTCGCTGTCGGACCTCAACCACGACCATCCACGCCCAGTGTTCCCTGCCGGACCTCAACCACGACCATCCACGCCCAGTGTTCCCTGCCGGACCTCAACCACGACCATCCACGCCCAGTGTTCCCTGCCGGACCTCAACCACGACCATCCACGCCCAGTGTTCTCTGCCGGACCTCAACCACGACCATCCACGCCCAGTGTTCCCTGCCGGACCTGCCACGCCCAGTGTTCCCTGCCGGACCTCAACCACGACCATCCACGCCCAGTGTTCCCTGCCGGACCTCAACCGCGAGTATCCACGCCAAAAGATATGCCACATAGAATGCCAGAAGATATGCCAGATAGAATGTTAGAAGATATGCCAGATAGAATGCCAGAAGGTATGCCAGATAGAATGCCAGATAGAATGTCAGCTAGAATGCCAGAAGATATGCCAGATAAAGTGCCAGAATGTTTGCCCGATAGAATGCCAGCAGATTTGCCAGATAATATGCCAGAAGATATGCTAGATAGAATGCCAGATGGAATGCCAGATTTGCCAGATAATATGCCAGAAGATATGCCAGATAGAATGCCAGATGGAATGCCAGAAGATATGCCAGAACATATGCCAGAAGATATGCCAGAAGATATGCCAGAACATCTGCCAGAAGATAAGAACATCTGCCAGAAGATATGCCAGGTAGAATGCCAGAAGATATGCCAGATAGAATGCCAGATCGAATGCCAGAAAATATGTCAGATAGAATGCCAGAAGATTTGCCAGTAACAAAATGTATAAATGTCATGGTGGGGATCACACGAAGTAAAGTAATTATTTTTATTTATTATTTACTTATTCCCCACCTGCCAGGTGAGGGTTGCTAGATTTTAACAGAGCTCTTCTCCTCCTCCGCCTCCTCCGCCTCCTCACCCGCCGCCTCCTCCTCGCAGTCCAGATCCCAGTGGGCACAGCCGGACCTCCACCGCGAGCTCCAGATCCCAGTGGGCACTGCCGGACCTCAACCGCCAGTTGCAGATCGCAGTGGGCACTGCCGGACCTCGCACTGCCGGACGTCAACCGCGAGCTCCAGATCCCAGTGGGCACTGCCGGACCTCAACCGCGAGCTCCAGATCCCAGTGGGCACTGCCGAAACTCAACCGCGACTTCCAGATCGCAGTGGGCACCGCCGGACCTCAACGGGAAGAATGTCAGAAAAGATGTCAGATAGAATGTCAGAAGATATGCCAGATAGAATGTCAGAAAGAATGTCAGAAAGAATGTCAGAAGATATGCCAGACGGAATGTCAGAAGATATGCCAGAAAGAATGTCAGAAGATATGTCAGATAGAATGTCAGAAGATATGCCAGATAGAATGCCAGAAAAAATGTCAGAAGATATGCCAGATAGAATGTCAGACAGAATGCCAGATAGAATGCCAGAAGATTTGCCAGATAGAATGCCAGAAGATATGCCAGAACATATGCCAGAAGATATGCCAGATAGAATGCCAGATAGAATGCCAGAAGATATGTCAGATAGAATGCCAGAAGATTTGCCAGTAAGAAAATGTACAAATGTCATGGTGGGGATCACACGAAATATGATACTTGCTGACACTTGGTAGATTAGCAAACTATAATCAATTCCACGCGTGTTCCAATCTTTTCATAATTTCATGTGACAAGTCGACATGTGGGCCTCCTGCTCGCTGCAGCTGGCAGCACCCTTCACCTTCGGCTCCGCTTGTCGCAAGTGATTCACAGAAAACGCACAAATCAATGCGGGGGTGTCCAGAAAACGTTGGTATGAATCATCCAACAAGATATGTGATACATGTACAGTATATATATATTATTTACTTATTTGTTTAATTAATTTATTTATTGTTTGTTTGTTTAGTTATTTATTATTTATTTATCTATTTATTTATATATATATATGTATTCCAACATGATCATATAATAGGGATTAGTCCCAGGACTAACAAAGGTTTCCTCAGAAAAAATGGGGTCCTTGGTGGCGCCCCCGCCCCAGTGATGCGTATTGCTTTATAACCCAGTTTGAGTATGTAGTTCATGTAGTTCGATATATCATAAACCCTAATTGTTAAAGTTATAAGTTATAAGACAATTTAGCTAACGAACTGGGGCTCCACCTTGTAGGAATATCCTGCAAGATTGATGATTCCAGTCGAACAGATTTAAGTTAATCAGCCAACAAACATAAGTGCGGGGGGAAGGCAATAACATGAACACAGCCCAAAGGGTTGGCTGAGATTTGTTTCGGGTTATCTTTGAACATCACCTAAACGGATTAGCCTTGCAGAGCAAGATCTCAATAGATCTCAATCAATAGGTGGTTGAATTCTTCTGAAAAATTGGACATTCATAGAACCACCCGAAACTTGGGTTCGAAACATGACTTCACCGCAGTTCAGACTGTCAGTAGTTGTAGGTAGTTGTAGCAACTGGCCAACCCAAAATAGTTATCTAATGTTATCTAAACATATCTAAACAATCTAAACTGAAAAAAAATGGTACCCTTTCACCCTTTCCCTTAAAAAATGCTGGGTTTTTTTTATCCTAGCTTAATTCGGTCGCCCCATGGGTCGGCGCCGGTCCATGGCCTCCTCCTCGGGCAGCACCTGGTTTTCTGGGGATTTCAACCATGTGGAGACAGCTGTTCCCTGAGATTGGATGATTGAGGCCGGAAAGTCGGGTCATACCCCGCGAAGTGGCAAGTTGTTGCACTAACATGCCAGAACTCTTGAATTCTTGTTTCGGAGCTCGATCATGGCAAAGCGGCCACACTACCCCGCGAAGTGGCAATGATCCAATAATCATCTGCAATCTACAACAAATCAAAAAAAATGTTTTAAAAAATAGTTGTCCCAATAAAAACATGTTGGCCCCAACCCGAACGTTGCAGCATGTCCTACGAAGATCTGTGGTGGGCCATGCTAAAACTGTGATGTTGAAGCTCATGCTTAACCCATCGGATGTGGGGGGCCCGTAGGTGCAACGGTCAGAGCACATGGTTTCAGGTAATGCCACTTCTGGCTATATATATATTAATATATATATAATATTATATATTGACCCGTATTAACTGATTGATGACCATACCGTGTATGGCTACATCATCCAACTTTTGACCCTAGCACAATATTGCTATTTCAATCAGAAGGCTGCCAGCTGCCACCTCGCTATGTCTGGCTGCGCCGGTATCACCTCGGGGTGAGCCCCAAGGTCCAACCCGCAGCATTGAGATGTTCGAATTTACCCTGCAACAAGTGCACGTACGTTGCAAAAAAGAAAAAAGGAAGACTTAGGTACATTTTATTGGGGCAAGCACTTGAAGCCTTCAAACCCCATGGGTTTGTATGTGTAATCAAAGTGTAGAGGTCGAAATTCCCTGTTACAAATACTCGAAAAGATTAAAAAGACAAGTCCAGAGAAGGGACAGAGAAAGAGAAAGAGTTCTCAAGAGAGGAGGAGAGAAGAGAGGAGTCACGAAAAGAAAGGAGAAGAAAAGAAAAAGAGGAGTCAAGAGAAGAGAAAGAGGAATCAAGGGAAGAGAAGCGAACGAGTAGTCAACTGTCAAGACCTCCTGACACTTCCGCCCCGGGCTCGGCTGAGTATTGCTGGTATATTCCAGCTTTCGGGTGCCAAGTTTGGACCCATGAGGTGGGCAGGCAATTCTTGTTGTTTGGATTCGGTGTTCATGATGGGGTTGCTTGAATGATGGAATCGTTTCAAGAAATTTCAAAGGAATATTGAGACTTTGCTGAGAGCTACAGGGACTCCAAGACAAATGTCCTTCCAACGCTGGACAGAAACCAACTTGACCTTGCCCCTCCTGTCTGAGCTCGCAACCAGGGAGACTTTCAGGCCCAAGATCGGCCACGTCTCCCCCCAGCATTTTGAAGCCCTGCACATATCTACATGTTTGTGCAAAGCATTGCAAAGCAGGAGCGTCCAAGAATAGCACGCAGTTCCCACTTGAATTCATAAATGCTCCTCCGGTTAACAGGTTGACAGCCAGGAATGGGCTGATGTTCGCTATGAACATGTGAATCTGCGCATTCCCATCATGGACAACACCGCACCTCAAGCAGGTCTGCGAAGGCCTAAGCTGCAGCTGTACAGGTCAGAACACAAAAAGAATACACTAGAAAGTCAAGGGCACATTGACTGCAAAGAATGTCTTTGTTTTTTTCCCCACCTGCCAGGTGAGGGTTGTTAGATTTTATGTCAGTTGCCTGCTCCTCTCCTCTCCTCCTCATCTCCTCCTCATCTCCTCCTCCTCTCCTCCTCCTCCTCCTCGTCGTCCTCCTCGTCCTCCTCGTCCAACTGCGACCCGCGATCCACAGTGTTCTCTGTCGGACCTCAACCACGACCATCCACGCCCAGTGTTCCCTGCCGGACCTCAACCACGACCATCCCCGCCCAGTGTTCCCTGCCGGACCTCAACCACAACCATCCCCGCCCAGTGTTCCCTGCCGGACCTCAACCACGACCATCCACGCCCAGTGTTCCCTGCCGGACCTCAACCGCGAGTATCCACGCCCAGTGTTCCCTGCCGGACCTCAACCACGACCATCCCGCCCAGTGTTCCCTGCCGGACCTCAACTACGACCATCCACGCCCAGTGTTCCCTGCCGGACCTCAACCGCGAGTATCCACGCCAAGTGTTCCCTGCCGGACCTCATGTAGGAAGATAAAATGTCAGATAGAGTGCCAGAAGATTTGCCAGGTAGAATGCCAGAAAATATGCCAGAAGATATGCCAGATAGATATGCCAGAAGATATTCCAGAAGATATGCCAGATAGAATGCCAGATAGAATGCCAGAAGATATGTCAGAATATATGCCAGAAGATATGCCAGATAGAATGCCAGATGCCAGAAATGCCAGATAGAATGCCAGAAGATATGCCAGATAGAATGCCAGAAGATATGCCAGATAGAATGCCAGAAGATATGCCAGAAGATATGCCAGAAGAATGCCAGAAGATATGCCAGAAGCCAAATAGAATGTCAGAAGATATGTCAGATAGAATGCCAGAAGATGTGCCAGTAAGAACATGTATAAATGTCATGGTGGGGATCACACGAAGTAAAGTAATTTGGCATGATTCACAAATAAGATTCTCTTCACCAGAAACGTTTGTCAACTTCGTGGACTGCTCTCCTGATTTCAATGTGTGGATGACGTGTCCTTTTTCAAGCTGCCTTGTCATCCACTTGGACCGTCATGATCAGGTCCTTGGTCCATTTGCAAACCGAGCTGAAAGGACTAGAAGGGCCATCCGGCCTATCATAGACAACACGTTTAGGCTCAGGCTCCACATGACTAAAACCCAACATTTTGCCCAAGTAGTTAGGCTGAAAGACTGCAACCATTGCAACTGAGGCATGAAGCACTCTTGAATCAAAAACTATCCATAAACTCCACAAATGTTGTTCAAAAGCAGAGTCCAAGGAAATGTAAAGAGGATGCTGAGGGACAACCAGAAGCTGAGGCAGCAACCCAGTGCCACTGCAGTGCCCCACCGGCAACACAAAGAATACTTGGAGCCCAAAGTGCTGTGGCAAGTACCGTGAAGCGACAGATCTCCACCGAGTTGGCTCTCCCAGAGGCTTCCCTCTGCCCCCAGGGATGAGCCGATAGTGGTCATATCCATGGAAGAGCGATGAAGAGCTGGGTGATCATCCTTGCATGTATGATGCATTGTAAGCCCACCTCAGGGGCCCCATAGGATACCCCATTCCATCGTTGAATCCTCATTTCCCCTATCTGATGGACATGTTTCATGGCCCCTTGAGACACCGCCACACACGAAATCTCCACAGCAGGGATGCCTTCCTTTTTCCGCACACCATCACGACCATCACCTCTTCGACGCACGGATGTTGCACCTGGTAGATGTTGACTTTGCCACTGTTCAAAGCTCGAAGGAGTGAAATGGCTGTGTCTGAAGATGGGGTCCGGGGTGTACATGGTATGCCCATAAAATGTCCATGAATAAAAGAACAAATGATGAGCAAACAGTGGATTTGGGCCCTGGTGAAACAACCTAAAAGAGCAGCATCGTTTTTTGCGCTCACTCGCGTTATCTTCTTTGTTCACCTGAGTTCTGGAGCAACTGCATTCCTGCAATGAGTGTCCCAACTTGCAAGTGTGAATCTCCTTTTCCAAGAAAAATCATCCAGTAATATCCAGTAATCATCCAATCAAGCCATCGATCGATTCAAAAATCAGTACTATTTTTTCGTGGGTTAGTCTCAAGATAGATGATACAGTTGCAATTTCTGCCACGTTCATAGGGCAAAATGATGACAAACGGATCAATCTTGGGATGACAAGCCCACATCGACCAAGTGCCCCGACGCAGTCTGTGCTTCCTGGCGTCGGACCATGGGCGTTGGCTCAGGTCTAGGAAATCACCAAGATCAGTGGATTGGTTTGCGGAAAATCTGAAGGAAACCAGGTGCTTTTTTACCATCAAAATTTAGGGTTTCCTCTTGATCTTCCCAAAGGATTTCCCGAAAGATTCCGAGTCTGGGACACCTGAAAGTAGAGATGGGCTCGTCCAGAAAGTAAGGTGTCTTTGCGCCCGAAATGGCCATCAAATCATAGGGGACTGGAAAATGATGCGCTACTTTTGGCCAAAGCATGCCAAGCCAAATGGGAGTACAACAGTATAACTGTATAACTATCACCACCCAACCACCAACCATCTTCCAGTCGCCAACCTCATTGGTGTTCGCGCTGCGGGCCTCAAGACAGGGGATGTGTTGGATGAGGTGAGAGCTCAACAACAGCTTTCTTGGCTGCCTCGTTCATGGCGCCTCCCATAGCGCCCATCATGCTAGCCATTCTGAATCGACAAGGTAGCGAGAGAAAGCAAGGCGAGAATGCTGAAGCAAAGCGGCTTCACCGTGACTCTGTGATTTGGGGCCAAAAGAGACAAATCATAACATTTGCCATCCTTGAATTTCCATCTTCTGCTTACAAGTTCACTGGGTTTTTTCTTAGTCTGTTTTCCTTCGCTCAGTGTTTCATACTTGCTACTTATTAGTTTCTGTCATTATATGTTATATGCCATGGAGGAAGATGCACGCTACAGCAAAGGTCAGCACTGAAAGCAATCGCCGAGACTTTTCTTCGATCTTGTCGCAATTGAATCAATGTCAAGCACTCTATGCTTATACACTCTTTGGCCGTTGGAATGGTCACCAGTCACCAGGGTGACTGGTGACCATTCCAACGGCCAAAGCAGCACAGGAAGAGCGTGAACGACACTGAGGGACACTAGCTAATAAAGCTTTTGCTGTACAAGACAGGATCATGTGAAAGGGGCTGCAAATGATAGCCATCTGGAAGATGGCAAGTGAGCAACTGGGGCAACTAATGCTACCAATATCACACGTGCCACACTTGCTGCTTTGAAGCGCAATGGGAAACGAACGGCAAACAGCCGAAGAGTGAAACTTTGAAACTTGGGTGCTTCCAGGATCAGAACGGTAACTTGCTCCTGGAGCACAGCTACAAGGAACCAAGGAATTGGCAAATGTGGATCCGCACCTTGCGCCGCAGCTACACCACGTGAGGAACCAAGTCCACCAGTCCTGGCCAACTTTCGTGGCGTGAAAATTTTGGAGCCAACATCCCAGTGGATGGTTTTTCTCATTTCAGTTTTGTTTGCGAAAACCGCGGCATCGCCTGGAACTGCGCAAAAATTTCTTATGCTCTTCAACCCAAGCCTCAACGCCTAACTCCGTGATAAATATGATACTTGCTGACACTTGGTAGATTAGCAAACTATAATCAATTCCATGCGTGTTCCAATCTTTTCATAATTTCATGTGACAAGTCGACATGTGGGCCTCCTGCTCGCTGCAGCTGGCAGCACCCTTCACCTTCGGCTCCGCTTGTCGCAAGTGATTCACAGAAAACGCACAAATCAATGCGGGGGTGTCCAGAAAACGTTGGTATGAATCACCTAACAAGATATGTGATACATGTACAGTATATATATATATATATTATTTACTTATTTGTTTAATTAATTAATTTATTTATTTATTGTTTGTTTGTTTAGTTATTTATTATTTATTTATCTATTTATTTATTTATATGTATTCCAACATGATCATATAATAGGGATTAGTCCCAGGACTAACAAAGGTTTCCTCAGAAAAAATGGGGTCCTTGGTGGCGCCCCCGCCCCAGTGATGCGTATTGCTTTATAACCCAGTTTGAGTATGTAGTTCATGTAGTTCGATATATCATAAACCCTAATTGTTAAAGTTATAAGTTATAAGACAATTTAGCTAACGAACTGGGGCTCCACCTTGTAGGAATATCCTGCAAGATTGATGATTCCAGTCGAACAGATTTAAGTTAATCAGCCAACAAACATAAGTGCTCCGGGAAGGCAATAACATGAACACAGCCCAAAGGGTTGGCTGAGATTTGTTTCGGGTTATCTTTGAACACCACCTAAACGGATCAGCCTTGCAGAGTAAGATCTCAATATATCTCAATCAATAGGTGGTTGAATTCTGCTGAAAAATTGGACATTCATAGAACCACCCGAAACTTGGGTTCGAAACATGACTTCACCGCAGTTCAGACTGTCAGTAGTTGTAGGTAGTTGTAGCAACTGGCCAACCCAAAATAGTTATCTAATGTTATCTAAACATATCTATACTAAACAATCTAAACTGAAAAAAAATGGTACCCTTTCACCCTTTCCCCTAAAAAACACTGGGGATGTATCCATGGCGCTTAACTCGGTCGCCCCATGGGTCGGCGCCATCCCATGGCCTCCTCGGGCGGCACCTGTGGGGATTTCAACCATGTGAAAAACCGGAAAGTCGACAAAATACCCCGCGAAGTGGCAATAATCCAATAATCATCTGCAATCTACAACAAATAAAAAAAAAATGGTTTTAAAAATAGTGGTCCCAATAAAAACATGTTGGCCCCAACCCGAACCTTGCAGCATGTCCTACGAAGATCTGTGGTGGGCCATGCTAAAACTGTGATGTTGAAGCTCGTGCTTAACCCATCGGATTTGGGGTGCCACGTTTTTTGGGCAAGTCCGTATGTGCAACGGTCAGAGCACATGGTTTCAGGTAATGCCACTTCTGGCTATATATTTATATATATATATTATTAATATATAATATTATATATTGACCCGTATTAACTGATTGATGACCATACCGTATATGGCTACATCATCCAACTTTTGACCCTAGCACAATATTGCTATTTCAATCAGAAGGCTGCCAGCTGCCACCTCGCTATGTCTGGCTGCGCCGGTATCACCTCGGGGTGAGCCCCAAGGTCCAACCCGCAGCATTGAGATGTTCGAATTTACCCTGCAACAAGTGCACGTACGTTGCAAAAAAGAAAAAAGGAAGACTTAGGTACATTTTATTGGGGCAAGCACTTGAAGCCTTCAAACCCCATGGGTTTGTATGTGTAATCAAAGTGTAGAGGTCGAAATTCCCTGTTACAAATACTCGAAAAGATTAAAAAGACAAGTCCAGAGAAGGGACAGAGAAAGAGAAAGAGTTCTCAAGAGAGGAGGAGAGAAGAGAGGAGTCACGAAAAGAAAGGAGAAGAAAAGAAAAAGAGGAGTCAAGAGAAGAGAAAGAAGAATCAAGGGAAGAGAAGCGAACGAGTAGTCAACTGTCAAGACCTCCTGACACTTCCGCCCCAGGCTCGGCTGGGTATTGCTGGTATATTCCAGCTTTCGGGTGCCAAGTTTTTCATAATGGGGTTGCTTGAATGATGGAATCGTTTCAAGAAATTTCAAAGGAATATTGAGACTTTGCTGAGAGCTACAGGGACTCCAAGACAAATGTCCTTTTCAACGCCAACTTGACCTTGCCCCTCCTGTCTGAGCTCGCAACCAAGGAGACTTTCAGGCCCAAGATCGGCCATGTCTCCCCCCAGCATTTTGAAGCCCTGCACATATCTACATGTTTGTGCAAAGCAGGAGCGTCCAAGAATAGCACGCACTTCCCACTTGAATTCATAAATGCTCCTCCGGTTGACAGGTTGACAGCCAGGAATGGGCTGATGTTCGCTATGAACATGTGAATCTGCGCATTCCCATCATGGACAACACCGCACCTCAAGCAGGTCCGCAAAGGCCTAAGCTGAAGCTGTACAGGTCAGAACACAAAAAGAATACACTAGAAAGTCAAGGGCACGTTGACTGCAAAGAATGTCTTTGTTTTTCTTGGCATGATTCACAAATAAGATTCTCTTCACCAGAAACGTTTGTCAACTTCGTGGACTGCTCTCCTGATTTCAATGTGTGGATGACGTGTCCTTTTTCAAGCTGCCTTGTCATCCACTTGGACCGTCATGATCAGGTCCTTGGTCCATTTTTGCAAACCGAGCTGGAAGGACTAGAAGGGCCATCCGGCCTATCATAGACAACACGTTTAGGCTCAGGCTCCACATGACTAAAACCCAACATTTTGCCCAAGTAGTGGGGAAGGAGACAGAAGTTAGGCTGAAGGACTGCAACCATTGCAACTGAGGCATGAAGCACTCTTGAATCAAAAACTATCCATAAACTCCACAAATGTTGTTCAAAAGCAGAGTCCAAGGAAATGTAAAGAGGATGCTGAGGGACAACCAGAAGCCGAGGCAGCAACCCAGTGCCACTGCAGTGCCCCACCGGCAACACAAAGAATACTTGGAGCCCAAAGTGCTGTGGCAAGTACCGTGAAGCGACAGATCTCCACCGAGTTGGCTCTCCCAGAGGCTTCCCTCTGCCCCCAGGGATGAGCCGATAGTGGTCATATCGCCCTTTTGAACAGCCACTGGGATGCCATGGAAGAGTGATGACCTGCTGGGTGATCATCCTTGCGTATATTATGCATTGTAAGCCCACCTCAGGGGCCCCATAGGATACCCCATTCCATCGTTGAATCCTCATTTCCCCTATCTGATGGACATGTTTCATGGCCCCTTGAGACACCGCCACACACGAAATCTCCACAGCAGGGATGCCTTCCTTTTTCCGCACACCATCACGACCATCACCTCTTCGACGCACGGATGTTGCACCTGGTGGATGTTGACTTTGCCACTGTTCAAAGCTCGAAGGAGTGAAATGGCTGTGTCTGAAGATGGGGTATACATTGGTATGCCCATAAAATGTCCATGAATAAAAGAACAAATGATGAGCAAACAGTGGATTTGGGCCCTGGTGAAACAACCTAAAAGAGCAGCATCGTTTTTTGCGCTCACTCGCGTTATCTTCTTTGTTCACCTGAGTTCTGGAGCAACTGCATTCCTGCAATGAGTGTCCCAACTTGCAAGTGTGAATCTCCTTTTCCAAGACAAATCATCCAGTAATATCCAGTAATCATCCAATCAAGCCATCGATCGATTCAAAAATCAGTACTATTTTTTCGTGGGTTAGTCTCAAGATAGATGATACAGTTGCAATTTCTGCCACGTTCATAGGGCAAAATGATGACAAACGGATCAATTTTGGCATGACAACCCCACATTGACCAAGTGCCCCGACGCAGTCTGTGTTTCCTGGCGTCGGACCATGGGCGTTGGCTCAGGTCTGGGAAATCACCAAGATCAGTGGATTGTTTTCTTGCGGAAAATCTGAAGGAAACCAAGGTGCTTTTTTACCATCAAAATTTAGGGTTTCCTCTTGATCTTCCCAAGGGATTTCCCGAAAGATTCCGAGTCTGGGACACCTGAAATGTAGAGATAGGCTCGTCCGGAAAGTAAGGTCTCTTTGCGCCCGAAATGGCCATCAAATCATAGGGGACTGGAAAATGATGCACTATTTTTGGCCAAAGCATGCCAAAGCCAAATGGGAGTACAACAGTGTAACTGTATAACTATCACCACCCAACCAACCATCTTCCAGTCGCCAACCTCATTGGTGCTGCGGGCCTCAAGACAGGGGATGTGTTGGATGAGGTGAGAGCTCTTGGGGGTTTGTTTGGAGCAAGCTGGTTTTGCAACAACTAGGAACTCGGAATCCATTGGCATGAGTCTCACGGGATGTTGAAAGATCAAGATCAGTTGTGTCAATACCGCCTCACAACCATCCCTTCAACAACCATCCCTTCACTCCTGATGCTTTTCCTCCGAAACTGACAACAAATGAGTCCAGCAGATCCGTCCCTCGCACATTCGCCCTCCCCTATCCTCCACCACCGCCTCTCCCACTGCACCACCTGCTCCAAACAACCTTGTGGTCATGTGTGGCTTCCACAAACGACATGTTGGCTTCAGAGTTCCAGAGAAGCGAAACCGACCTGGGACCTTTGGGGTATGTCCGGGTATGTTTATTTAAACCATCTTTCAAAAAGTTGCAGGCTTCAAACCTTCCAGATTGAAGAACTCCTTCATCTTCAGCAACTTTCTCATGGCTAGCCCTCGATAACCCTGCAAAAACAGCTTCATGGTTGGTGGGAATCGGAAGATGTCCACGTCCAAGCATGAAATTGGCTAAACTATGCCAAATTCAGCCAATGAAAACCTACCATTCACCAAGGTTCACCAACTGACCTGGGGCCCAGACACCAGGGGCGGCTGTGCTGCCGGAACCTCTTCGCGTGTGGGGCCTCATTGTGGGCTTGGAACATCTCAACAGTCCTGGACAATCTGCGGGAAGCCTTGATTTCGTCCATCCATCTTGGTCACTTGATTTACCCAACACAAAAAAAAAAGCAACACGAGCCCGCACAACAGCCATGCTATGATTTTTTGGTCATTGATCTGTCATCAGAATCATATCCTGATCACCAGCTTTCTAAGGCGCCACACTTGAAAGGGGGGCTGCACCTGCCACGACTAACCCTTTTGGGAATTGCAGTGTTCGAAATGCCAGGGATCCAACCCACGGGACAGTCTGAAAGGAGGTTAGCTGGGTGATGGATGAAACTTGCCTGGAGCCGGATTTGGACTGCGGTTGGGCTTGAAGAGAGTCACGAAGACATTGCCCCAAAGATAGACCTGCATCGCTGGCCAGGATGCTATACATCCCTGAGGAACTTTATGTTAAAGCTGTTAACAAAATCGTCGAGCCGAAACTCTGTGTTTCAGGTTCCGTATTGGTTTTCAGAGGTGTACATGTTCCATTTCACCAGGATCGGGTCACTTGATATTGATAGGAAAACACGGACCCTTGGCTCTCTGTCCACGGCTGCATCACGGCACAAAACACGGCACTTCCGTGTTCAAACATACGAACTCGTGCCGTGGGTGGGCTCAAAACATCCCAGAACATCCCAGAACTTCACACCATCAATTTGTGTCGATCATCTCATTCCATGAATATTCATGAATATTCCATGTATGGGGCACCAAAAGTCTATCACTCATCACATCCAGCACAATTCCAGCACAAACTCTTCGTACTGACAGGCCTGTGCGAAGATTGCCAACAAGCCGCCCAGCACGATCTTTGGTTGCAGAGGCTCCACCTTTCGGAGATGCGGCTGGTGAAATGATGTGTTTTTTGAGTCCCAAGACTTGACATCACCGCCGGTTAGTGAATCACTGCCAAATCCATTAACAAACACCTTGGTTGGACATGGAAAAAAAAACAACGAAAAGGAACATTTAGACAGAAATGTTTTCACGAATTGAATGGCTGGGACATGTCCTTTCAGGTTGCGTTTTTTGCTTGCGGAGAGTTTAGGCGGCGCCAAAGAGATACAGGGATCCACCAAAGTCCTCGCTGCCCCATGTCACAATGTCACCATCTAATTTGATAGCTGCGAATGCCCGCTCGTTGGACTGAATCTCCTTGACATTCCTTAAACGATCTCGGACCCCGCTGCAGTCGCCACCGTAGCTCTGAGCGCCCCAAGCAACCACCGTTCGGTCTTCGCGGATTGCTGCGAATGCTCGCTCTGAGGCCTGAATCTCTTGCACATCTTTCAGTTCATCACGGACTGCACTGCTGTCGCCCCCAAACCCAGGATCGCCCCAGGTGACAACCGAACCATCTTCCAGGAGCGCGGCGAAAGCACGTTCAGAGGCTTGGAGATGCTTGACATTCCTGCACGGCGTGCGCACATGCAATGCCTTCTACCCATGATGCCTTAAAACATCATTTTGGGCACTGTGTGACGACCCAATGCGAGGTACTAATGGACCCACAAATTTGGCCGTGTTCAGAATAACTTGGAGGGCAGAGAATGTTGAGCCGTGGGTGAAAGCGCTCCCAAAACACGTTTCCAAGGTCCTGAGCTGATTTTGAACAGGGGTGGCAACCCCCCCAAACATCCGGCTTCCCCAGGACGTGACGCTGCCATTGCGTTTGATGGCCGCGAAGGCGCCAGTGGAGCCTTGTACATCCACTACATCTGTCAGCTGGTCCTGGACACTGTCGCCTCAGCTTGGTCATTTTTCTTCCCAATGTCTTTCTGGTACCCTTAAGAACAGGAAAAACTCAACTCTTTCATAGGCTGGAGGTCATTACTCCCAGAAAAAAAAAATATCAGCAAAGGTCAGCAAAATACAATCCGCGCTCTGTAAATGGCGATTGGCAGCTTCCACCAAAGATGCTGTTTCCCCAGCAAACCACACTTCCATCCACCAAGATCGCAGCAAAGGAGCTCCAGTTGCTGAAGAGTTTCCAAGCTGGCTGGCTGGTAGCCACTTCCCCAACCCCACCACACTCTGGGTCGCCCCAGGTGACGATGGAGCCATCCGCCAACTTGGCTCCAAAGGCAGACCAGGTGGCATGGATGGCCTCAACCCCCTGCAGCCGCTGTCTCACTGACCGGCAGTCGCCACCAGACCCAGCATGGCCCCAAGATACCACGTGGCCATCTGCCAGTATAGCTGCGAATGCCCGCTCGTTGGACTGAATCTCCTTGACATTCCTTAAACGATCTCGGACCCCGCTGCAGTCGCCACCGTAGCTCTGAGCGCCCCAAGCAACCACCGTTCGGTCTTCGCGGATTGCTGCGAATGCTCGCTCTGAGGCCTGAATCTCTTGCACATCTTTCAGTTCATCACGGACTGCACTGCTGTCGCCCCCAAACCCAGGATCGCCCCAGGTGACAACCGAACCATCTTCCAGGAGCGCGGCGAAAGCACTGCTCGTTGCTTGTACTCTCTCAACATTCCGCAGCTGCTCCTCAAAGTGACTGCCCAGCATAAAAAGAATACATGATTCCATTGATTTCCACTATAGTCATCTATAGTCTGATCAGACCCCTTTGATTCAGAAACACCATCTGCGAAAAAAAAAAAACGCAAAACAACCTTCATGGTTGAATGTTGTCCCATCCAACCATTCCTCCAACCGACTCCCACTCCTGCACATTGCTAGCATCCCCACCCGCCAGTGGATCGCCCCAGACCATCAGATCGCTGGCACCGGTCCAGGCTACAAAGGCTGACTTGGAGGCGGCCAGGTGCGGCACCTCCACCACGGCAGTGAGGCAATCCTCTGGGGCAGGGAAAACTGCCAAGGCTTTAGTTCAGATGTTTTTTCTTGGATTGAAGTGGGAATTTGATGGTTGAAGGGAAACCCATTGAGTTTTTATTGGCCGTTGAAATTATTCGCCATTGAAAGATGAGGGTCCAGAATGCGTTTGTTACCCAAACGCAAATGATTATACAGCGCAACTTGCTTTATCCCTAAAACAGATCATACCACATTTCAGGAGGAGCAAACAAAATTGCTCATAGATTAACTTAGCATCTCCATCTTTCAGTCCCTCTTCCCAGAGGCACCGCTGTGGTGCCAGCAGCATCTGCCCCTCTTTGGTCAACAGCTGCAGTAGGCCTTGGGTCTTCAAGCGCTGTTGCGCAGCGCATTTCAACCAACCAACGGTTGCGTCTGCTGCCACGCTCAACGAAGCATTTTGCCCACTGGGTAAAGCCACGGTGATGTCCATAGTCACCATGGCTCCAGGAGGTTGCCTCAGCCCTTCGATTTGCCAGGCTTCCTCGAAATTCGTAAACCTGGGCCTGGTGGGCCAACCAGGAGGTCCAAGCAAAGATGCTCCATCTATCTTCTTGGAAGCCGTGTACTATCCATCTCCAAACTCTCCTACTATGCAAAATCAAATTTGTGTTGGATGTGAGCTGTGGTAGAGGACATGGAAACTCTTTGCCATGCCTTTTGTGATAGATTTCTCTTTTTCGGCAGTCACTCATTCGAGATTGTGAGTTTGATCCAAAAGAAGAAGCGACTGGCTTAGCAGCCATTCATTTCCATTTCCCGGAAGCTGGCAAGGAGAGCCTAAATTGCAAATCACCATTTGGCCATCCCAACCTCCACTGACCATTGAAACACACCTCAAAAGGGTCCTCTTTTACTTCAATGCATCCCACTTTGATTGGGTACCTTTTGGTGCTTCGGTCCCAATTTTACGCTGGGTCCGCTGGGTGGTTGCTACTGTATCTTTTGGTGCTTCGGCCCCTTGCGGCTATGATTCACCTATAGTGTCTTGGAGCAACCCTGTTTTTTGGCCGGGTCTTTGCTATCTTTTGGTGACTTAGGCTTACCCTCTGGTAAACTAACATAGCTATGGAAAATCACTATTTTTACTATGTATATAGATCAACTATGAATAACAATTTTCAATAGCTATATTAAATTACCAGAGGGTAGTCTTTATTCTTGTTGGGTTGAACACCATCCCAGATCTTGTCGGAGCCTGTGGCTCGTCCAGAAGTCGCATGTCATCGTCCGGAGGAGGTGGGGGTGGCACGAAACGCTGGCGCTGCCTGGAAAGCGAGCTCTGCCAAGTGCCAAAATGGGGGGGTTAACCATTAGGAAATAGGAGTTTAACCATCATTATTTCATCAAAATGGGTGGTTTTACCATCATTATAAAGATGGTGGTTTAACCATCATGTTTATAAACTTAAAAAATGAACAGAAATGATGGAAATAGGGGTATGGGATTAGCTTTCCATAAATAATGAATGGAGGTTCTGACTTACCCCACAAAAGATGGACTACCTTGGCTTTTGGACGAAGGGGATGCTGTTCAGAGGCCAAGTACCCACATGTTTAGTCTGATTTTGAGGAGCATTCCAGACATATCCAAAAAATATCACGAAAATGATGGGAAAAAAATGGCTCTTGAAGATTGTGTCACAAGTGGAGTTCACTTCCCCCACTTTCAGCCCAGCCACGGCTCATGTTCGTGGACCCGATGGACAATGTGATGACGCACCTGGAGGTCCCAGTTCACATGGTGTCCATAAATGGGGGGTCTCCAAAATGGACGGTTTATAATGGAAAATCCTCGAAAAATGGGTGATTTAGGGGTACCCCCATAGGAAACCTTCATCTGCGGCTTAAAGTTACATGGAATTTGGTCATGAAACATTGGAATCTAACTTTAACTTCAACCAGCAAGAATGGGGATTGTGGTTGTTTGATCGGATTATTTGTGGGGCCTGAATGGAGTACACCAATTGGGATTTAAACATGGGGACTCTGATGTGCCATGGAATTACTAATGGGATATGAATGAATGCACCATCCATATGAAATGGGAATTATCTGAGATATGGGTACAGTATGTCACAGATGGGGAAAAAGGGGGTATAGCAGTGATAAATTACGTGTCTGTCTTTTTGTCTGTCTTTTTGGGGTGTACTATACCCTATTATCCAAAAGATTGGAGAGGCTTCGTGCAAGGGACAATTCACTGGAAACAAGGTTCCAAGTGGGGGGTTAACCATCAATTATAGGTTAAGTGATGATTAAAGTAGCGTTTCACAAACTTTCATTGGTGTTCGATGTTTTTTTTCGTGGGCGATCTGTAAAATTTCCCTGAAACCAATTCAGAGAGATGTCAACCATGAAACTAGCCTTTTTTTCCCTGCACGCAACACATCCAAGATGCAAACAAAGCGAAAGAAAACAACATGAATTTTCTCTGCTGATTGGGCAGAACTTGTCCCCAGATCTTCAACACACGAGCCCGGCACTGTCATATGACCTTGACCTGGCCGTGAATGGCAGCGATGGTGGGCGGCACGGATGGAATGGATGGCATGGCGACTTCTCCAAATCCAAACAGGGTATCTAGTCAAGAGCATGCCCCATCATGAGACCAAAAACGCAGAATATATAATCATCTAATCTAATCATCCAAATCAAAAAACGGATTCTCCCATCATGAGACCTTGGAATCCAACAAATTTAACAAATCTGCAAAGCAAAAACAGTGCAACGCCAAGAACCCCCTTTTGAGGTCACTTTCTCCCAGCAACACACAGCCAGCATCACCGTGGTTGACACCATTCCCTGTCGTGATGGTTTCCTCATGCGAATAGGACATCCCATCCTTGCCTCACGAAAAGTTTTGTCTCCGACAAACCTAGAGGTCTGAACCCCAAATCCAGTTATATATATATATATATACAGTATATGGTTTGATTATTAAAAAAAGGCATTTAATTGATTTACACAATAGTTGGTCCCTAAAAGGGAACCCATTTCATCGGCGACGTAAAGAAAACTACAAGTTCATCGGCGCAACGGAAACCCAGCAGCACCCATGTTTTTTTCCGATGATTTGCCATGACCCATGATCCCATCATAAACCATGATCCCCTTGCTGGTGAACTCCCAAAAAGATCACCAAATTTTGCCAAATCTAAATTCATAAATGGTCAAATCCATCATTTATTGCTTAAACCCTCCATTTATTCCTGACGATTTTTCTTCATCTATTCCAGGTTAAAACATCAAAGCCTCCAAAGCCTTCATTTATATATTCCTGGTGAAATTCTCCAAATTTCTTCGCAAAGCCTGACAGCTGAGGTCATTCACCGTGGTGACCAGCGACATGTCCGTGATCGTGATGGCCGTGGCTGACCTGACCCAGCTGTCCAAGTGGCCACTTCTTCGAAGGAGAACATGTATCATATGGCTGTTGTTCATAGGTATGTATGTATACATATGCAGCGTAAGGATATGTTTATGATACGTATGTATCTATATGTATCCATATGTTTCTTTTTGCATCTATCTATCTATCTATCTATCTATCTATCTATCGATCTATCGATCTATCGATCTATCGATCTATCGATCTATCAATCTATCGATCTATCGATCTATCGATCTATCGATCTATCGATCTATCGATCTATCGATCTATCGATCTATCGATCTATCGATCTATCGATCTATCTGTCTATCTATCTATCTATCGATCTATCTATCTATCTACCTATGTATCTATGTATCTATCTATCTATCTATCTATCTATCTATGTATGTATGTATGTATGTATGTGTGTATGTGTGTGTGTATGTCTGTATGTGTGTATGTGTGTATGTGTGTATGTGTGTATGTGTGTATGTGTGTATGTGTGTATGTGTGTATTTGTGTATGTGTGTATGTCTGTATGTCTGTCTGTCTGTCTGTCTGTATGTATGTATGTATACATCGATACATGATACATCGATACATCGATACATCGATACATCGATACATCGATACATCGATACATCGATACATCGATACATCGATACATCGATACATCGATACATCGATACATCGATACATCGATACATCGATACATCGATACATCGATACACCGATACACCGATACACCGATACACCGATACACCGATACAATCGATGTATCGATGTATCGATGTATCGCTGTATCGATGTATCGATGTATCGATGTATCGGTGTATCGATGTATCGATGTATCGGTGTATCGATGTATCGATGTATCGGTGTATCGATGTATCGACGTATCGATGTATCGATGTATCGACGTATCGACGTATCGACGTATCGACGTATCTAGGTATCTAGGTATCTATGTATCTATGTATCTATGTATCTATGTATCTATGTATCTATGTGTCTATGTATCTATGTATCTACGTATCTACGTATCTACGTATCTACGTATGTACGTATCTACGTATTTACGTATCTACGTATCTACGTATCTACGTATGTACGTATCTATCTATCTATCTATCTATCTACCTATCTATCTATCTATCTATCTATCTATCTATCTCTCCATCTCTCTATCTCTCTATCTCTCTATCTCTCTATCTATCTATCTATCTATCGATCTATCTATCTATCTATCTACCTATGTATCTATGAATCTATGTATCTATGTATGTATCTATCTATCTATCTATGTATGTATGTATGTATGTGTGTGTATGTGTGTATGTGTGTATGTGTGTGTGTTTGCGGTGTTTTACTTCTGGATATAGGGCATGTAGATAAACACGACATGCAATGTATACATATATATATATATGTGTGTGTGTGTCTACACGGCTGCAGGCTGCAGGTTATCTTGGGCCCAAATTGCTGGTCGGTTTTCCGACCACCTGTGGCCCGAGCATGATGTTCGTGATGAACCACCACAGGTCCCGATCCATCTGATCCCTGGTCGGCGGAACTGCTGCAGCATTGCATGAGAAACGCATATCGAAAGCCGGTGAAACAGTGATGCCAAAAGAGTGGCAGTGCCCGGCACCAGGGCCTCCATCACCCAGTACTGAACCTCCTCCTCTGGCTGATCAACTGGCGCCTGCCGCAAATCTCAATCAGGCCCAAATTGAGTCACAAAGTTGTCAAATTTTGGGAGGCCTTCAATAATTCTATCCAACAAAAACCTCAAAAAAAAATGATTTGAGACCCCATCACGAGTCGGCCCGCAAAGCTCTCAGTGTTTCTCCCTTCATTGTGTGGATTTCCGGGAAATACAGGAAACCAATGTTTTTCCCGTCAAAGAGCGATTTTTGGTGGCAATCAATGGTATCTAACATTGAAGGGCTCTGCCTGGCTGGGGTCATCCGGGACGATCTCATTCTTGTCCTGAAACCAGGTGGCGAACATACCTGTTTCCTCAATCATCCTGGTTGATCGTTAGCTGGTTCCACCAATTCCAATGCAGAATTCCATGGGTATCAGTCATGTGTTATACACATATTATATATATATATACATACATACATTACATTACATTACATTACATTACATTACGTTACGTTACATTACATTACATTACATTACATACATACATGCATACATACATACATACATACGCTGCAAGTTTTCATGTTTTTTTCAGCATGAATGTGACAACCAACACTAGCAACAAATCCGAAACATCTGGAGGGTTCGGACCAGAGCAAAATCATTTGAATCTATCTGGTCAATTGTTAGAACTCACGACCCTGAAATTAACCAGTTTCATGTCCAACCTGAAATACCTGCAAAAATGATGAAAAATTAGTTGGTAAGCAAATATCGCCGTTTATGGCAAAAAATGATGTTGTATTATGGATTGTATGGGGGTATAAAGGGAAAAAATCATAGCAATGTTAGTTTAGCTGGTTGGTAAACCATCTATACCATCTGGTAACTCAAGATAGCTCTGGAAAATTGTCCATTTATAAATTATTTTCCTCTCAAAATGATGTTTTTTCCATAGCAAACTGCTAAGTTACCAGACGCTACCCATCCACTTGATTGCCCTTCTCGGATTCCAAGCCAGGTCCACATCCACGGGTGTGTGCGATGCCACCTGGGAGAAACATCTATCGATGGGGATACAATCATGTATAATGTGTAATACAATTTCAACAATGTTATAGTTATGTTCGTCATGTATATGTGTGTATGCATATATATATATATAAATAAAGAAATAAATAAATAAATTTTTTAAAAAAATATATATATATATATATATGTTCCCGTGTCCCGTGTTCACGGCCCCCCCTCCCCCCCATATGGTATAAGGGTTTACCCCCCCCACCCATGTTTCTTCCCAACCCCCCCCACCACATCCACAAGGGGAGGGATACATAGACACTCGTGTGTGCGGCGGTTGCGGCTGGGGTCGTTCCGGACGTAATGGGTTCCTCCTCTGTGTTCTGCAACGAGTGGTTGTGTCTGTGTGCGTAGTTCTATTCGTTTCTTGAATCTGTGGTTGCAGATCGCATTGGAGTGGCTACATGATTGTTGTCATCTGGTGTTGCCAAGCGCGTAGAGAGATGCAGGTTTGCTACGTGATGCTGCGAAACGTATTGTAATGGCTGCATGAATGTTGCATGGGCTTTGTTTTGGGGAGGAAGCCGGAGCACGAAACCTTGTATTCTTCCGTGTAAAGTAGCTGCAGGCGGCGATGAAAGGTACCTTGTGTGTGTGTGCGGCGGGTGCGGCTGGGGTCGTTCCGGACGTATTGGGTTCCTCCTCTGTGTTCTGCAACGAGTGGTTGTGTCTATGTGCGTAGTTCTTTGCGTTTCTTGAATCTGTGGTTGCAGATCGCATTGGAGTGGCTGCATGATTGTTGTCATCTGGTGTTGCCATGTGCGTAGAGAGATGCAGGTTTGCGACGTGATGCTGCGAAATGTGATGTAATGGCTGCATGAATGTTGCATGGGCTTTGTTTTGGGGAGGAAGCCGGAGCACAAAACCTTGTATTTTTCCGTGTAAAGTGGCTGCAGCCGGCGATGAAAGGTGCCTCGTGTGTGTGCGGCGGTTGCGGCTGGGGTCGTTCCGGACGTACATGGGTTCCTCCTCTGTGTTCTGCAACGAGTAGTTGTGTCTATGTGCGTAGTTCTTTGCGTTTCTTGAATGTGCGGTTGCAGATCGCATTGGAGTGGCTGCATGATTGTTGTCATCTGGTGTTGCCATGCGCGTAGAGAGATGCAGGTTTGCTACGTGATGCTGCGAAACGTATTGTAATGGCTGCATGAATGTTGCATGGGCTTTGTTTTGGGGAGGAAGCCGGAGCACAAAACCTTGATTTTTTCCGTGTAAAGTGGTTGCAGCCGGCGATGAAAGGTACCTCGTGTGTGCGGCGGTTGCGGCTGGGGTCGTTCCGGACGTACATGGGTTCCTCCTCTGTGTTCTGCAACGAGTAGTTGTGTCTATGTGCGTAGTTCTATGCGTTTCTTGAATCTGTGGTTGCAGATCGCATTGGAGTGGCTGCATGATTGTTGTCATCTGGCGTTGCCATGCGCGTAGAGAGATGCAGGTTTGCTACGTGATGCTGCGAAACGTATTGTAATGGCTGCATGAATGTTGCATGGGCTTTGTTTTGGGGAGGAAGCCGGAGCACAAAACCTTGATTTTTTCCGTGTAAAGTGGTTGCAGCCGGCGATGAAAGGTACCTCGTGTGTGCGGCAGTTGCGGCTGGGGCCGTTCCGGACGTAATGGGTTCCTCCTCTGTGTTCTGCAACGAGTGGTTGTGTCTATGTGCGTAGTTCTTTGCGTTTCTTGAATCTGTGGTTGCAGATCGCATTGGAGTGGCTGCATGATTGTTGTCATCTGGTGTTGCCATGTGCGTAGAGAGATGCAGGTTTGCTACGTGATGCTGCAAAACGTATTGTAATGGCTGCGTGAATGTTGCACGGGCTTTGTTTTGGGGCGGAAGCCGGAGCACGAAACCTTGTATTTTTCTGCGTAAAGTGGCGGCAGCCAGCGATGAAAGGTACCTTGTGTGTGTGTGCGGCTTCCTCCCCTGTGTTCTGCAACGAGTGGTTGTGTCTATGTGCGTAGTTCTATTCGTTTCTTGAATCTGTGGTTGTAGAATGCATTGGAATGGCTGCATGACTGCATGACTGTTGTCATCTGGTGTTGCCATGTGTTAGATACATGCGGGTTAGCCACGTGATGCTGCAAAGCGCATTGTAATGGCTGCATGACTGTTGCATGGGGCTTGTGTTGGGGAGGACGCCGGAGCACGAAACCTTGCATTTTTCCGTGTAAAGTGGCTGCAGGCGGCGATGAAAGGTACCTCCTTTGTGCGGCGGGTGCAGCTGGGGTCGTTCCGGACGTAATGGGTTCCTCCTCTGTGTTCTGCAACGAGTGGTTGTTCCTGTGTGCGTACTGCTTTGCGTTTCTTGAATCTGTGGTTGCAGATCGCATTGTCGTGGCTGCGTCAAGGTTGCTTGGTGCCGCGGCTGCATGCGTAATACTATTGTCTTTTGCAGCTGGATCTCGCAAATAGGATTGGAGTGGCTGCACCAAGGCTGCTACAGTGATTTGTCAGCAGATTTTCTCAATTTTGGCGCTAGTAATTTTCCTTTCAAAAGTCCTTTTAAAAAGTGCTTCAATATCGTCTTTTTTTTCGCTTTGTGAACGAGATCCATCCGGTTTTGGAGCTGCAAGTCCCGACGCCGTTGCGCGTAGTTCTTTTGTGTTTTGCAACTCAGTCTAGTGCGCGTAGTTCTTTAGTGTTGTGCGTAATACTATTGTCTTTCGCGTGTCTAGTTGTAAAAGCTTCTGAGTATGTAAACGCTTGCCATGTGTAAAAGCATTCTGTGTATAAGTGTTCTGTGTGTAAACGCTTGCTGTGTGTCAAAGCTTGTTGTGTGTAAAAGCTTCTCTGCGAAAGAACTTGCTGTGTGTAAAAGCTTTTGTTGTGCAAGCTTTGTAGTACAAAGTGGTACATGGAAGTGCTTTTGTGCAAGCTTTGCAGTACAAAGTAGTACTGGGTGCAAGCTTTGTAGTATTGCGCAAGCTTTGTAGTACAAAGTAGTACGGCGAAAAGCTTTGTGTAAGCTTTGTAGTACAAAGTAGTACTGGGGAGTACTTTGTGCAAGCTTTGTAGTACAAAGTAGTACTGGGACGTGCTTTGTGCAAGCTTTGTAGTACAAAGTAGTACTGGGAGGTGCTTTGTGCAAGCTTTGTAGCACAAAGTAGTACTGGGAAGTACTCTGTGCAAGCTTTGTTTACAAAGTAGTACTGGGGAGTACTGTGTGCAAGTTTTGTAGTACATAGTAGTACTGGGAAGTGCTTTGTGCAAGCTTTGTAGTTCAAAGTATTTTGTACAGGCTTTTCTGTGTAAATGCATCTGTTTCTCAAGCTTATGTGCACAAAAGGTTTCTGCGCCCAATGGTTTTTTTGCTTCGAGCTCTTGCCGTACATAGGCAAAACGCGTCAAATGGATTAACAAGTCCATCGCAATGCTTCCAGAAACCTTTGTGGAACTTGTGACCGCAGTGAAAAGCGCAAAAAAGGGTGACTATCAGCTTTTGGGCCGCTGTGGCAAACACAGATTGTATTGGTATTTGCAATGAATTTTAATGGACCTCCATTTTCCTTGGCGTTCGCAGGGGTTTTGCATCATCATTTTAATGACTATTTACGGACACTTGATAAAATCGGCAACCTTTCCACGGAATTTGCTTCTTCCATTCTTCAAAACAAACACATTTTGTTAAATTGATGCTTCTCATCGACGGACATTTTTCAAAAATGTCCGCGCGCCCCATGATCAACAACTGATGAGTTCACATCTTCAGAAACACAAAAAACATTGGAAAAAACCATATAAAATGGACATTTGCCTATGCAATGGATCTTGGAATAAATGATGCTCCCGGGTAACCTAAGGGCCGGAGCGTCGGATGAGAGGAAAACAGTTGAGAAGAACTTGTCTAGATGACATGTGTGAAGAGATGGGATGAGATGAGATTAGGTGAGATGAGGTGCGAAAAGCTCACATGATTTGAGATGAGATGAAGTGTGGAGTGTGAAGTGCAAGTGTGAAGTGTGAAGTGCGGGGTGTGAAGAGTGCAGTGTGAAGTGTGAGGAAAGTCTTCGCTTGGCGTTGCATTGCACCGGGGTCGCGCGCAGGTCATGTTCTTGGACTACATCTGTGCAACAGCTTCGCAAAGCACGCACGCGCGGGCCTGGCTGGCGCACAGCGCATGCAAGTTCTATAGATGAGAGAGGTCTTATAGTATATCCCCAAGGCAACTTCCGCCCCGCCTCGTGCGGGTACTACTGGTATTATATATATATATATATATTTATATTATATGCATGTATGTGTGTACATATGTATATATGTATGTATATATATATGTGTGTGTGTGTGGAGATGAGTCAAAACAATCCCAAATTTTAGGATTGTCAATGGTTTCACCCAGGCTATGACCCACACAGCAACGCGACCTCCTTTTTCTAATCTGCTGCTGGTTCTGGGCGTTGATCCAAAGGGCAGCTTATGGATTGGCCCTTCGAAATGTTTCCAAAATGAAATCTGCAAATGAAAAATGTTGATATGCAAAATGCAACTGACATGTCAAGTGCAACTGTCATGGAATGGTGCACTCCCCCTCAGCTTTGACGTCAGTTTGAAGCTGACATTCTTCATCTGGTTCATCCTCCGAAGGAGAGATGCTTTTTCCGAAAAACTCAAAACGCTCAAACTGCCCATTCTTCGGTTCTTTCAGCGCAACGAACGCACAGATTGATTTGGATGGCTTCTCCACGGTGAGGACACTGGAAATCCGTATGAAATCTTCCAGCATATCCAGAATTCAGCACAGGGAAACCAGGAGGAGGTCGCCCACGAGGCGCAGTCACCAACCTGCAAGTGGTGCACCATCTTGATGGCCTCGCTGGTCCAACTCTGGGATGGGTCAAGTAGGGGCACTGATGGGAAAGATGATATGCCTTCCCATATCTTGTGGTCAATACCCCAAAGCCAGGTCCTTCTGCATCTGGTTCATCCTCCGGTGGAGAGATGCGCAACCTTTCTCTAATCTCTGCGACTTCGGCCTCGAT